AGGAGCAGAATAATCAACATTAATGTCGTACTAATGATTACAAGTGTGTCAATATCAATAAGACACAATGTTATGGATGGAAGCACCTTCAATGAAAATAAAATATTTCTTAAGACTTAAGACAAACAGAAGAACACAACAAGCACAGTAGTTAGTTTTTGTTATAAAATAATATAACTGGGAAACAGAAGGAAGGGGGGGTTGTCACTGGGCATTACTACAACGTACTATTTATCATTTAAGGATCCGAAACTTTCCTATGAGTGGATAAGTTGTCCAATAATTCTTCAAGTTACTGGAGTATGAAAATATTTTCAGAAATCAAATAAATTGTGATTTAATATCTAAAGTACTAACATTTTTATACAATTGTTTTACTTCATATAAAAAGCTAAGACGATTATTTGAAAGTTTATGGCACTGAAGAAGAAAATGAATTTCACCCTCAATCTCAGTACCACACAATTTACAGATACATTCTGATACCGTCAGCGTGTTGTACCTTCCCCTCTCAATCTGCCAATCGTGAGCACTGGAATTGAATTTTGTTATATATTTTTTAATTGCCCTGTAAAACTAATTTTCTAAGACAAATATGCTTTTAAAAAGTCTATAAGTTTTAAACTTGTTCCCATATATTAGTACTTTATTACCACAGTTAAGTCTGCCTCATATCTTGACTTCTAGAAATTGACAATGAGGGTCGGTTGAAAACAGAAATTTACTACAAAAAAGCTTCCCAATTGTGAATTTTCCATTTCTATGTAGCAACATTCCAGAGGCATTTGTATACGGAGTATATATCTCCCAATTGATACGATATTTCCTATCATGATTTCCTTGTAATCATCCCTTCGTAAATTTTACGAACGCAGTCACGAGTTGGTTCACCGTTACGGAATATCCGTTTCACAGATGATATCGGATATGTTTATGATGTCGTAACTACAATCCAGGTCCCTTTCCAAGAATGTGACCTACCGAATAAGACTATTTATCAGGTTTGTAATAACATAGACAACACGATGGGTAGCACATGTGGAGCAGGATCTGCTTACCCTTCTAGAGCACCTGCAATCACCCCCAATTTTTGGTGGGGTTCGTGTTACTTAGTCTTTAGTTTTTTAAATTTTTGTCTTGTGTACTATTGTTTGTCTGTTTGTCTTTTTCATTTTTAGCCATGGTGTTGTCAATAGATATAAGAAGATGTGGTATGAGTGCCAATGAGACAACTCTCCATCCAAGACACAATTTATAAAATAAAAAAAAAAAAAACATTATAGGTCAAAGTTCGGTCTTCAACACGGAGCCTTGGCTCACACCGAACAGTAAGCTATAAAGGGCCCCAAAAACGTTGTCAGTTTATTTTCGATCTATGAGTTTGAATATCCCTCTGGTATCTTTCGTCCCCCTTTTGCAATATATGAAATAATTTGCTACTTCCCATTTACAAATTGTCACTTTAATATAAAAAAGAAGATGTGGTATGATTGACAATGAGACAACTCTCCACAAGAGACTAAATGACACAGAAATTAACAACTATAGGTCACCGTACGGCCTTCAACAATGAGCAAAGCCCATACCGCATAGTCAGCTATTAAAGACCCCGAAATGACAATGTAAAACAATTTAAACGAGAAAAACTAACGGCCTAATTTATGTACAAAAAATGAACGAAAAACAAACATGTAACACAAAAACAAACGACAACCACTGAATTACAGGCTCCTGACTTGGGACAGGCACATGCATACAGAATGTGGCGAGGTTAAACATGTTAGCGGGATTCCAACCCTCCCCTAGCCTGGGACAGTGGTGTAACAGTACAACAAATAAACGAACTATAAAAATCAGTTGAAAAAGGCTTAACTCATCAGATGGGTACAAATAGAAATACTACACAGAGTGGACGTGACCGGGTACTTGTATATCCCAACAACAAAAATACACTAAGTACAGATATGAGAGTACTCGCAGTTACTGACAGCTAGTTCAAAGCCACTAACAACTAATATAAAATCATGCATCTAAGATTAAAAATTCAATCAGTACATATCAAACATCCAATGGATTTAGTGTAAAGACGTCATAAACAGTCAGAGAAAAACATGACCTTGTGCAATGCCAAGATACACGTATCGATAGATTGTAGATCCATGAAAGTGTATATGTATATAACAATTATATTTAGTTTGCTTTTGAATTACTGATAACAAAATCAATATTAATGCCAATGAAAACAATATTCAGAGATCTAATTACAGTGTTGAATTGGTAACCTTTTAGAATAAGTGTATTTAAAGGATCGATAAGTTTACCAGGATCTTTTCTAAATTTCCGGGCACGGTAAACAACAACTCCGTAAAAATGAGGATGTGCTATCCCGTTTGAAATAAGTTTTCTACAGGTACAACCAAAATTCAAAACCAAGTCTTTATATCTATGGAATAATTCAGTAAAATTCATATGAACAGTTGATTCACACTGATTTCTCTGTGTCTTGTGCATGAAATAGGTGCAAACGAATCTTCCTTCTGTTGGCACAATGTTGTTTCCCGATGTCTTATGTCTTTCAGGCTAATGCAAAACGCCTGATGGCTTTTTCATATAACAATATGAACTTATGGCAAAGGTCAAATTCTAAAATGCGAAATTTTCTTTTGAACTCAATTTCAAGGTGATAGCTTATGTATCTCATATCAAAAGACCCCAGGTCTTTAAAATGTATGGTTATGAAGTTATCCTACCGAGCGGCCTTTTTTTGGGAACTTAAGGGAAAAACTCCCACAACCAGAGTACTTCAACCTATGCGTATTCGTGAAGCGTCATGTCAAAACTGACAATTTGCTAAAAAGATTTTGTCAATCACTTTTACGGTTTCTATTTTATATCATGGTATTGACCACAATTTTCTGCTTATTGACCTAGAATCACAAATCGAAAGTAACTAGGTCTTTGAGACTTACAGTTAATGATTTTTCCGAAAATGCAATCATGTCACACAAAAAAGGAATAACTCGTAGTCCATGTAAATAGATTGCTTTCGAATATAGCATTCTGAAAAATATTTCATCGATATTTTTTTTCCTGAGCAGAAGCAATAACGAGCAACACTAGTAAACTCATATTTGGAGAAGATTTCAGTAAAAAAGGGGAGAGTTTCAAAAGGTCAATAACTGTTCGATTTTATATACCAAATATCTGAGCGATGTATTGCGTAAAAAGAGTGACGGAAGAAAAGAAATAATCAGAACAAAATCGAAAGCTCATTAAACGGAATGGTGGAAAGACGTAACTATTAATAGAATGTTACAGAGTAATGTATTGATATCAAAAATAATAAGTATAGCTTATTTTATTTACATGTAATTGTATTTAATGAATGACTATTATTTATTTTGAATTTATTGAACCATAAAATTAATTTTTGACTCTTCACATTTTACATAATCCGCTTCGCGGATTATTCAATGTGAAGAGTCAAAAATTAACTTTATGGTTCAATAAATTGAAAATAAATTATTGTCATTCATTATAAATAAATTTCTATCAAAAATAAGGCTCAAAGAGCTTTTTATATTATTTATATTAACAATAACAACGTACACACATGTTGGCGTATGAATACACAACGTCAGAGTGGGCGTGTCGCCATAAAAATTGACAACATTGAAAATAAAGGTAGTACTTTTAACCAATCAGAAGACAGTAAATACACCAAATTTATTTATTAATATACATTATTCAAAATATTGAAGTTCAAATATATATTTGAGTGTTAAACATAATAAGTACACATATAAGGTAAAACCAACAAATGTTATTATAGTTCTCTTGACATCTACTACTAAATTATTCAGTTATCAATATTGAAACAAAAGGGTCCCAAAAAAGGAAATAAATCTATCCCAAGGTTGTAACTGCTATGGGACAAACCATCAAACGTATATACTAGTAAATGAAGACAACAGAAGTATACCACTGTTTAATAGCAGTAAATTGAGTGAGGGAAAACAATGCTGGGTCATGAACTAAAACTAAGGTCAGCACATCAACTTTAACAGGAAAACAACGGAACAACAGAAACACTAACCTGCAACAAAAACAAACGCCTACATACATAGAAACATACTATTTGATAACAACTGCTATATTCCTGACTTGGTACAGGACAAATGGTGGGTTGAATCTAGTTTTATAGCTAGCCAAACCTCCCGCTTATAAGGCAATCTTAAAATTACCACTAAAATGACAACAATACATGACAGGAATTCGAAAATAGTACAAACAAAAACAAGATGTCTCAGCACAGAGAAATATATAAAAAAATAATATAATAGTAAATTACAACATATTAAATCACACAGCTTACAAATTCGGTAAACTAAGGCCGTGTTCCCATTGACATTAACCTGAACTCGGTGTTGTGTTAGGTGTTAGTGTAATTCACACGTAAACTAAACACAATTACGTTCCAATTGATAACACTCAAGGTTTACATGCAGTTTAAATCATGTTTTGTCTACATGCAGTCGATAGTCAATGTAGACCTTGAGTCGGTAAGTTGTATACAAAACTAGATATTTAGAACATGACTTTTACATTGTATGTTTAAAGAAGGAAGGATTTTTTTTAATAAAAGTGATATTTATAACAATTAATAATAATGTTGCAGCCTACGTTTTTTTAATGCGCAATTGAGACATGTTTAGTATCTTTAAAATACTGCAAATCATGAAAATGGCTTTTATAAAGGAGCAACATTTTTCTTTCAGGGGGTGTTATGTTTTTTTTTCGGAGTCAGAATTTGTTTTCGCGCAAACGTTTTCTTTCATTTTTTTCGACGCTATCAATCAATTATTTGTTTTCAATATTTAACACTATAAGGTATGGGGAAAATCTGGATTCAGAATATTTTTTTGGGGTCAAATTGGGGATCAGAATATTTTTTAAGGAAAAAACCATAACCCCCCCCCACACCCCACCCACCCCTCTTTTTGAAGTCAAATCGTCGTTCCATATTAAATTGCTAGATAAGTTGTCCGAGAATTTGCTTCTATGTAATAAGCATTTAAATGACATATAGTTTACAAGTGTGAACAAATCTAATGTTCAGGTAATAAAACCAGGTGTATGGATGTGAACGAATTTAATGTGAAACCAGTGTACATTACATTACACTAATTGTAAACATGTTTACTTTACATGGCGTTTGGTGTAAACACGGCCTAAAATTACAATGTTTAGTAACGGATTTGATGGTTTATCTAGACATTTTGGCTGCAATGGCCATGTTAACACCACAAAGTTTACTCTGATTGCAGACACACATTGCATCTGGAAATTTGATAGGGCACGAAAAGGCCTAGATATAATAATTCTAAAGTATTTTATGATTGATTCAAAAACTTAACTGGATTTCGTTGTGCACTTTTTCTGTTCCTGCATAATATGATAATATCAACAAACACTAGTTTTTTATTTGATAAGGTAGTATTACCCCCTTTGGTTTCTTCTACCCCTTTGAAAATACATAAACACCACAAGATGGAACAGAGGGTACGTTACTGTCGAAAAACAAAAGGTAGACACGTGAAAAGATGAAATGATCAGTTGTATGATTTTGGAGTTCTTGCGATTCCCTCAGTGTTTGTGTTTGTTTCCTTGATACCTTTTATTTAAAATTGATTTACGAGATTTGAAAACAGGCAATCTACTGTAGCTTTAACTTATCATATTACCAATTTTGAAATCGCCCATCTGTGTCCATATCTGCATCAACAAACTAATGCATCTTTTTACCAAATATATTAAACTACAGGTGAACGAACTAAACGACTGACGGAAACTGAGTAAAACGGCTTAAATAGTAGGCTATCACCTGCCAATGATTACAAGGAATATGAAGATGTAAATGTTATTATTATTTCGTACAGATTGATGTCGTAATAACCTGTGCATTGTTTATCAAGTTAAATTGATGACGAGACTTTTTGACTCTTCAAACTTATTTTTAGATATGTTTAATTACCATTCCCACTGATCTAAGAACCAATTTCAAGTTAAATTTTAAGCAAACTTCGTCATAGGACCCCCTAACATTCTAAATTCAAATTCAAACTTTTGTTGAGTCAAGTGAATATAAATAAAGATGTGGTATGATTGCCAATGAGACAACTCTACACAAGAGACTAAATGAAATAGAAATTAAAACTAGAGATCATCGTATGGCCTTCAACAATGAGAAATGCCCATACTGCATATTCAGCTGTAAAAGACCCCAAAATGACAAATGCGAAACAATTCAAACTAGAAAACTAAAGGCCTAATTTATGTACAAAATAATGAACGAAAAACAAACATGTTACACAGTAACAAATGGCAACCACTGAAAAATAGGCTCCTGCCATTGGGACAGACACATAATGTGGCGGTGTTAAACTAGTTTGTTTGCGCCACCCCTCCCGTAACTTTAGACAACGACACAACACAATTTGGAATTCAAAGAGTCCTGCACAAAGGTGTTTGTCGAAATGGACTGCCCTGATTGCCAAAGACCTGTTTCAAAGTCAACGTTTGGTCGAGCCTTTTCTATGCTTAAGTAAACTTTTTGACAAGAACATTTCAAAATATCATCAATTGTTGAAATATCTGTCAAGGATACAGTTAATTATTTGGTCAGCTCTTCATACTTAAGTTAATCTGTAAGTCAATTGACTGTCTGTCTTAGGTTAATTTCCTTTTTAAAGGTTACAATCACACCTCTGTGTCTTTTCTCATTGCCTTGGCTTTTGTCTTTTGAATATTGTATGGCATCAGTATTCCATTTATCTGCAGCTAGCTTCCAAACTATACTTCCACTAGAATTCTGAATATTAAGTATTTCTCCACTTTCATATAACCTGTTTTAATAGAATAAAAAATTAGAAAATTTAAGTTAACTTCAAATAGCTTTAAACATTAAAATGTTGAAGAAGTATTGTAATTTGTTCTTGTATTAATCACTACAAAAGTCAAAAAGTCTGAAAAGACCAATTTTTGTCTGAATGTGCATGAATGTTTACTCGACATTCTTTCTTTGTCTGAACTATTTTTAAAAATTCTTGACAAAGTCTGAATTTGTCTAATAAAGTTCTGGATTGTTCTTGACATATGTCTTGACAGTATTAACATTGTCTAAAAATTTCTCGACACTTTATTTATCATCTGATAAGTGTCTTGATTAGTCTCGACAAATTCTTGACTGTCTTAAGTTTGTCTCGATCAGTCTTGACATATTCTTGACATTCTTAATAATATCTGAATATGTCTTGACACATTCTTGACCGTCTTAAAGCTGTCTGAATATATATCGGCACATTCTTGACGGTCTTAAAGATGTCTTGACACTATCTCAACAGTATAAATTTAGCCTGAATTGTGTATAGACACATTCCTAACAGTTTAAAAACTTTCTTTTGCAGTTTTATACTCTATCACTAAACTAAACTTAGAAGAATTAGGATACAATAATACATTGCACATTTTGTTACAGTAATTGTTTATTTACCATATTTTCATTGAATATTATGCATGAAAAATGAAATATGTTTACAGTATGATTGGTTTCAATCATGTAGTAATTATTTATAAGATTTATAAATCAACATTTGTAATAATTTACAAGATAAAATTGAGAATGGAAATGGGGAATATGTCAGAGAGACAACAACCCGACCAAAGATCACACAACAACCAAAGGCCACCAATGGGTCTTCAACACAGCGAGAAAATCCCGCACCCGGAAGTGGTCCTCAGCTGGCCCCTAAATAAAATTGTGTACTAGTTCAGTGAAATTGGACGTCACCCTAAACTCCAAAAACATATAAATGAACTAAAATTTAAAAACATACAAGACTAAGAAAGGCCATAGACAACACATTTAAATTGGTTTATATCAACATTCTCACATTTGTATTTGTTAATATTTTAAATGTCATACACATATTTATATTTATAAAAATATTTATATACTCAAAGTTTTAATTATTAAAATATTTAGATGCCCAATTTTTTTTTAACTTGAAATAACAGTATATTCTATAAAGAGAAATAAAGATAAAGATATATCATGTATATTGGTCATGATTTGAAATAACAGTATATTCTATTAAAGAGAATTAAAGATAAAGATATATCATGTATATTGGTCATGATTTAAAATAACAGTATATTCTATAAAGAGAAATAAAGATAAAGATATATCATGTGTATTTGTCATAATCCGTAAAACTCAAAAGTGTCAAGTAAATTTAAGACACAATTCAAAATGTTCAGAATATGTCAAGCCATACTGAGAAAAATAAAGAATGTCAAAAATTTGTCAAGAAATTTTAAGACCATATTCAGAATGTCGAGAATTTGTCGATTAAATTTCATAAATATCTAATATAAATCAGAAATTGTTAAGAAAAATTAGGGCACATGTACTTTTTGAGAATGTCGAGTAATTGTTCATGCAAATTGAGACAAAAAATGGTCTTTTCAGACTTTTGTACATTTGTAGTGAATGAATGCAAAACATTTAATACTTGTTTTGATTTAGAATCTGCAAACAACAGGTTAAACGTCTTACGAAACGTTTCGAATTAACTAATGAATTACGGAGTTTTGTTAAGCTCCTGTAACAAACATTATAGTGTAGTTTTCAGATGTATCTAGAATAATCTCATTTCAGAAAAGATCTATTTTGTTGACGCATTGTTAACCGAACTTAATTATCTGGGATGGAGGTTTAGTTTACTACAAGTTAATGGGGCTTGAGTTATAAAACACACCATTTTATAATCAAGGGCTCATAATTTGATAGCGAGTAAAAAGACGGGCAAATGATCACCATTTACAATTTCAAAACTATTATCAGGATTACATTCTTTATCTAATCAGATCATTTGAACCGCTGTAACGAATTCATAGACAAAAATATTTAGTACGTATTTCAATGCATGTTACTGTCATATGATGTTCCTTTTAAGATGCAACTGCTATTTGTTTGCATCAGGCAGCGAAATGTTTCATATCAATCCAATTATAATCGTCCACTATTATAGGAGATAAATTTGAAAAAAAATCAATAGGTTCCAAGTTTTTTTACTGTTCTTTTCTTACATTGTGAAGGTTTGGAAGTCAGTAGTTAACAATGAAATGATATTAACATTGGATATAAGTTTCAGATTTTTGCATATAATTTATCTTTTGTTCATGCATTTTTCTTTTTTTTCTTCGACATTTTCCAACGGTCTCCAACTACTTTCTTCCGAGTTAGAATAAAAAATTATCATGGAGTCATATAATATTCGTGTATTCTTGTCTCTCATTTTTACTAATGTGCTTTGTCTGTATGACTTTTTGTCTTTCTTTGTTACATACTACAGATTAAGATTATAACAATGGTGACTGCTGTACCCCAACTGTTAACACTTTTAACTATTATATCTGTTTGTTTTGTTAACACATCGTTGCCTATATAATGGAATTGAATGCTACTGCCATACAAGTAAAAGGTTTAGCTAGCTATAAAACCAGGTTTAATCCACCATTTTCTAAATAAGAAAATGCCTGTACCAAATCAGGAATATGACAGTTGTTATCCATTCGTTTGATGTGTTTGAGCTTTTAATTTTGCCATTTGATTAGGAACTTTCCTTTTTGAATTTTCCTCGGAGTTCAGTATTTTGTGATTTTACTTTTTTTTAATGTATTTGAGCTTTTGATTTTGCCATTTGATTTGGGACTTTCGGTTTTGACTTTTCCTCGGCGTTCGGTATTTTTGTGATTTGACTTTTTAAACGTCAACTAAGCTATCTTTGGGATTGAAAAGTATTGTTTTGTATCACAAGAAAACAGTAACGAAAAACATATTTCTCAGATAAATGTATAGAGTAAGGTATAGATGTTAAATCATGAGAAACGAAGTCGGTAGATTAATAAAAAAAAGCAGGGAAATTGTGATAGTTTCGTGTACGTGAGAACTAGTTTATGTACTATTGACTTAAAACTTATCACATATACCAGCCTTATAATTTGGAACATATTACGTGCGTTTCGCATATTGTTAGAATCAAGACAGGCAATTTAAAGTTAACAAGCATCATTAAAAGAATATTTTGAAAATTATATGCCAAATACGACTAGGATTATCTATCCACGAGAGAAGAAACTCATTGTTTCGAATAAATCATTTTTCTATTGTCAGTTATTTTCAAGAACATTAACATATTAATGAAATTTCCTGTCTGCAAAAAAAGTCCTGCCTACTAGGCTGGTTATACACTCGGTAAAGAAACGTCTACCAGTAGTGCCATCGACCTAGTGGTTATATAAACTAATTAAAGATACCAGGTTTAAGATGTTGTACACCATAATATTGTTTTGTCTACTTAAGACACGACCTTTCTATTCAAAACATCAACAGCCTATATTTCACATTTTCTTCAGCACGCTCATACCATCAAAAAGAATTTTCATATGGTTTGAGAATTACCTCCTTGAGGTAAAAATAGACTAGTGTTAATCAATGTGATAAAAAATGTGGATGCAACGGCTTCGGCATACAAAAGTAAAAGAGTTGTTTTGTTTACCTTTTAAATTTTTCAACTTCAACGTCTTCACCAGAAATAAATAAGGTAAATACTTGTTCGTCAACTTTTACTGTGCTAGGTAAATGCTGTAATATATATACCATTAACATTATTCTTAATTCTAGATACTTATATTTCTAACAGCAACATTAATTTCAAAACCACAAAATTAAAGAAAAGAGATAATAATTCCGTTTTGCCCCCGAAATGGTGTTTAGCGGGCTGATATGAAAATTTATTGCATGCCTCCGGCTATTATCACATGTCCTTCCGTAACATTTTCACATGGCGTTCCGGCGTTACTCGGAAAATTCCGGAAAATACATCCCAATCAAGTCAATGGTACGTTTTCAATGAATAACATAACAAAGTAAAGTACAAAACAATTATTAGGAAACAGGAAAATATATAATGTAAAATGCAAAAAAAAAAACTATTATACAATAAATGCATATTTCAAAAGTTTCCAGCATAATTTTGAAAGTTACTTTACAAATGTTGAATTTTCCGAACAGTGTTCATTATGTTTCATTGATTTTTTTTATCATCAATATAGAAATATATAAAACTGTTGTTTTTCTCCTCTGTTGAGTCTGTTGAGGTATATGATAGAAAAATTTCATATCTGATGATACGTCGCACGGCCGTAGATTTTTCACTTTTTGAACTTCTACGTATGAACCACTTAAAAGGATCAATATATTAAATTATTATTTTTCACCATTGTTGAAGCATATGATACAAAGATCATAATATGACATTTTTCATATAAAATGTATTATCAGCCCTCGAGCGTTCGGGTCTTCGGCTGTTGAGCCATTGAACCATGATAATACATCTGAGTTGAAAAATGCCATGAAATAATCTGATAATATTTCTCTAGAATAGGCACTTAATATTTAAGTGACGTGATTTGAAATAACTGAACTGTGTACTTTTATGTCATTTTCAGAGGTAAAAATATATGTCATCCTAATTTTTACTGGTATACACACACAGACAGTTGGTTATTATGATTGTCAAGAAGGGCACAGTCAGACTCCACAAATCATTGAAACTTTGATTACAGATATTCGATTTCGATCATGAAGACCTTTTTGTAGTACTCAAAATATCGTATGTCTCATTTTTAATAATTATCCGAAATAAAATTATATAGTTTATGTCAGACTTCTACGCCTGATAAAAATTTTGTAACTGATTGACATTTTCTCAATCTGGAATAAAACAAATGATATCGTGTTTTTGTTTTCATTTTTGGAGGTAGATTATCTTGAGTATTCCTTACTGGACAATAGTCACGAAAAAGTTTGACTATATTTTCTTTTCCTTCCTTCATGGCTGTCTCAAACGGTGTTTTTCCCCACCTAAAATATTGATAAAATAAGATAATTTGAACTAAAATACATTATAGCGTCTGTCTGCTCGCCATCAATTAATAGCTAGCGTGCGCAATGTAACTTACCATGTACATTCTGTTAGTATAGGAGAATGCATTTGATTTAAATTGTGGCCTGGATTTGTTTTTGTCTAAATCGATTTATGACTTTCGAACACCGGTATACTTCTGTTGTCTTTACTATGCATTGAAAATAAATAAATCGCATGAGTAATCCCAATCAGACCTATTCACGCCTTAAATCATTGACCCTGATATAAGATCACAATGTTGTATGGATTGTAATGATATGCCATTTAGTAACGGTGTGGTAGAAATAGTAACTATGTAAGGATTTTGTATATTATTTACAACGTTCAAATACATAAAGTTGTGGACAGTTTTTTTCATTAAGGTTTCTTTAGGTTTCATACAGATTGTAGTCATAACATTGTTGTAATACATGTCACTTACATCAATTCACAATTTGATAGATGCATGTTATGTCTCTTTTCTTATGTTTCGAAAGCTATTTATGGTCTGGAAGTTTACTTATCACATGTTAACTTTGTACAAGAATCTATTAAAAGAGTTCACCGATTTATAGCACTAACATCATTTTAAGTTGTAAATAAATGAAAAATCGGGATGTATGTCAGTGAGTCACTAATAAAACGAAAAAAAATACCAAAGATATACAAAGGCAACATACAAATTAAAAGAAAAATAAGATGTCAACACGTCTAAATTTTAATATTCCTTTCGTCTCTATTAGCTAAATGGTTAGTTTTGAATAGTAAATCCAAGAGGGACGAAATATACCAGAGGAACAGTCAACTTAGTAGTCATATAAGGAAACATATTGTATATACCGTTTTACTCAAATGTAGATCGATTATGATAACTTAGATTACATTTTACGAAAGCGTGCTAGTTACACTTAAAAAAATGTTTACAAATATTTTCTAGATAATAATTAAAGTTGTGATGAGAATGGGGAATTTGCAACATTCAGTGTGAGAAAACAAACATTTTTCAAACACAAACCTTTAAACAGACTTATTCGGAAGGGATATAGTTACGATACTGTTGTCAGATCATTAAGGATTGCATATTTTGGTATTAATATTGATTCACTCATAGGGTCTTTACATCGGAAATAAACACATTAATTCTAAAACCAGTTGTTGGCATGATACGGGTTACATGTATGTTCTTCTCATATATTTTATGATTGAATGATTCTAAACCCCTAACGGGAAGGATTGTACCTGATTTTCATATGATGAAAATATAATCTTTCAATCAGTTTAATTGAGGTCTGGAGCTGGCATGTCAGTAACCGCTAGTAGTCCTTTGTAAATTTATCTATCATTGTCATTTTGCTTAGTTTCTTTTGTTACCTATTCTGACATCGGACTCGGACTTCTTTTAAACTGAGTTTTACTGTGCGTATTGCTATGTGTTTCTTTATTCTACATTGGCTAGAGGTATAGGGGGAGGGTTGAGATCTCACAAAACATGTTTAAACCCGCCGCATTTTTGCGCCTGTCCCAAGTCAGGAGCCTCTGGCCTTTGTTAGTCTTGTATGTTTTTTAATTTTAGTTTCTGTTGTTAATTTTGGAATTTAGTATGACGTCCATTATCACTGAACTAGTACACAATTTTATTTAGGGGCCAGCTGAGGACCACTTCCGGGTGCGGGATTTTCTCGCTGCGTTGAAGACCCATAGTGCTCTTTTGTCGGGTTGTTGTCTCTTTGACATATTCACCATTTCCATTCTCAATTTTATTGCTTAAATATTCATTTATTGACAGTGAACAATGTATTGTTGCGAAATAAATATAATTAAAACTATATATCATAACTTATTTTAAGATTAAATATGTGTAAATGAAAGTTTACCTATCCTTAGCTGTGTCTGCTTCCTTTACCAGACGACAATCTTTCAGTCAAAACTCCACAACTTGTTCTTGGTTATTATTCACTGCTATATGCAATGCTGTTCGTTTGTCATAATCTGAAACTGTCATATTGTAGCCTGCTTCTTTGTATCTATAAAAACATGACATAAGATTTATTTGCATAAGACATTAAAGTCGATAATGTCCATTGCATAAACATAAGTTATCTATATCAGTAAGTTGATCCTTAATTACCAGTAGGTTTGTCCGTAAATATTACCCGACATCGAAACAAATCTTAAAGAATCATGAAATTGCAAAATTTGATAAGTCGAATACTTTAACGGTCCAAAAAGTAAATTAAAATAAATACTGAACTGCAGGGAAAAATTCAAAAAGGGAAGTCCCATAGCAAAATCAAAAGCTCAAACACATCAAACGATAGAAAAACAACTGTCATATTCCTGACTTGGATTAAGGTGGCTGGGGTGTCTTCCTCCATCTTGTAATTTGGAAATAGCAGATGAAAATCGATTTATATTGTGAATGAATTGTGCAAATTTCAAAGTAGTATGTAATCTATCTGTAAGACTTTTCATGTTAATATAGAAAATTATGTGTTTTATCATATTTATGGCTGTATTTTACAAACAATAGAATATTTTTGTTAGATTCATTTTTTTTCAAATTTGCCACATACGGGGAGATAACACAGATATATGGGGAGATAACTCGGAAAAAATTACTTTTATAATAAAATGTGCTGTGAATTTACCTATTTTATAATGAAGCAAGAAAACGAGTCCAGTGACTCCATTTCTTCTATTTCGTATCTGAAAACATATTATTTGGGCTGTCTTCTCATATTTATCTTAAAATTCTATGGTGTAATTTTTTTCTTACAAATTTGGGTTTTCCTTCCATAATCTATACAAAATCTGACAATTTTGCACAACCTGTAGCATGAAAAAAACCCGGTGACCAACACTTTTTATTATATGTTTGAAAAAAGCATGTATGCACTACATTTTGACGAATTATTAGAAAGTTATATGGATTCTATTTCAACCCACAATATATGTTTAACCTTGTTTTTGTAACTAGTTAAAACCCTGCTTGTTGGAGAGTTGTTTACAGTTCGAATTGATAGTACAGGAAAACACAAGACTAGCCCAATTCTCGTCATTCAGGAAAACTTCAGAAAAAGTATGCAAGATTTTAATATATGTTTAACCATGATTTGATGACACACTGATGACCATTTGAAGTGTGCTTATATTTTTACCTTCCTTTCAGACAGGTATGTCATGGTCATGTTATAATTAATTTTATATAGTGTAAAACTATGGAATTTACTTCATTTATTTTGAAAATGATTTAATAGCTAATGATCTTCAAAGTATTTCTAAGATAGTATCATTCACCGTATATTTACCTCGAGGACTTTGTTCACTTATTTCTTTTAACAATATATGTATGCACTACAGTTTGATCACCACAATTGTCAATGCCCCTCACCCTTTCCATTAATAATTTTTTTGAAGATCAATGTTTCGAGTTTAATATACTGATGGTTGAAATTGGTTTCAAACAAGGCATGAACGTTAAAGTTTTATCGAGCACCAATTTTATAGTTTTATTGTTGATATTCACCCCATGTACCAAGTTTGAGAATAGTTTTATTGATATACAAGAAATTTCTTGGTGTTCCAAAACGGAAGGTCATACAGACAGAAGAAGAAGAAGTATACCTATTTTCATTTACCTGTGTATAATTTAATTGCAAATGACGGAATGTTTTATCAAGGTTGATGTTTTTCTGAAATTGTTTAACATTTCACAGCGGTATAATACTTTTACTTTAATTATTCATCCCTTATTTTTATTAACTTTGTACCATAGATCAATTGAATTCGTTCAGTGTATGTTCATTTGTGTTACTACGTCTTTTGATTGATTATAGTGTGTCTTTCTATGTTGTGATGTTACACTATTGTTTCTGATAAGGGTGAAGGTTTGGTATTATTAAAACGTTTTTACCCGCTGCAATTGTTTGCACCTATCCTAAGTCAGGAATCTGATGTTCAGTAGTTGTCGTTTGTTGATGTGGATCATAAGTATTTCTCGTTTCTCGTTTTGTATATATATAGATTAGACCGTTGGTTTTCCCGTTTGAATGGTTTTACACTAGTAATTTATTGGGGCCCTTTATAGCTTGCTGATCGGTTTGAGCCTAGGCTCCGTGTTGTAGACCGTACTTTGACCTTTAATGGTTTACTTTTATAAATTTTGACTTGGATGGAGAGTTGTCTCATTGGCATTCATACCACATCTTTTTATATCTATGAACGACAGACATATTAACTTTTCTCTACAATGCAGGTCTCACGTTCGACGTTTTACTTATAATTATTGATATTGTCTTTCACGTTTTTCCGATTTCTAAGAAAAATAAGCCCATTTACATTTCAAAGAATAGACATTACACTAAATGTTTTTATGGAATTCAACGTTATTGAATGACTGATGACACGAATATTCGTACCAATATAGGGGCCACAAAAACGGAACTTGTCGTGTGGACCTACTTTAATTTCATAAAGCTGAATACATTTGAATTTAATAAGCCATATAATTTCCTGAATTAAATATTATGTTGTTAAAATATCTAAAACGTGACATGAAGATCAGTGAACGTTGAGATTGGAGCGGTTTTAGAAGAAGGATTCTAGCATTGTATCGACCAGTACATCGAATCCTGATAAAAATATTTCTCAATGTTCTCCAATGTGTCAAAAATAATTGGACAAAAATTATTGTAAACTACGTCGACATCATAAGCACAAAATATGAAAGTTGAAGCCTGCCTTCTTTTGACATAATTCATCAACAAGAAGAACATGCAAAATCATATTATCAGCCAGCATCATACACAAATGTATCATAAAAACGTTTAAGGTCTGCAATCATTACAACTTTCATTTCATATCAAATATAAGATTCGTACTCGAAATTAAGGCTAATTTCTATTCAATTTCTTTACTAGTAAAGGCAAATAAATGAATGTAAACGTACGCTCTTATTCGACGAATGTCCCCTCTTAATGCACTGTTCAATATTCGAACAATCTTTAAATCCTCGTTTACATTTTTCTCTTGTTCTTTCTGAAAGAAATATATGAGCTAGGAAAAAGGTAAATCGATGGTCAGAAAAAAATGTTGTATCTATACATTCAGAAATTCTTAGTAGCTAACCGTCACGTCTTGCGTCTAAGAATTACTGTTAACCATGACAAACTATATTATAAATATTACAAAATATAATTTTTAAATTGACATTATTAATGTACTCTATAATTTGACTTTCAGTAGTTTTAAAATGTAAACAGATTTGAAAAATATGTGCATATAATTGTTTTACAACCGATTTATTCATAATTGTTTTACAACCGATTTATTCACCTTCCATATCTTGGTATGTTTTCAATTTTGGTTGTCTTTACTTACATCTTTTTTGAAATAAAACAATTGTCATTAGTTCGTTTGTCTAATTGGTAGGTAAATTTTGAATGAATGTAACATTAAAAGTTACTGATTGATTTTGGTTATGTACTAGTTTATAAGAAGTTATGAAAATTACATTTTTGTTATTCTCTGTCAGTGGGAATATATTTATCGCATCGACAAATATGATGGGCGTTTTTGGTATTAGTTCAAAACGATACTCACTCCAATTGAAATTTAAACTTATCAACTAGGTTATAATTGGTTGACTTATGATGTAGAAAAGATTATATTGTTTAGAACAAAATATAGAATAGGGAACATTCCCCTGACATGAGAGTATATTGATTGCTAACAACGCTCGCTTTTCTCCCGCGGGCAGCTAGATTCATGCAATTACGTGGACATCCCCTTTTTCACATGAAATGTCCGCATTTGATTAAAAAAAAAACAAAAAAAAAAAACACACACACACACACACAAATGCGAATTTATGCACTTTTTACATATTTTGTACTTTGTCTCTACCTATTTAAACATATCACATTGAATAAAGGTGTAAGTTGACGTTACCTTCTGCCAACAAGACTCTTGTTCCAACTGTTCTTTGTTCGCATAATTTCTCAATTGTTCTGCAATTTCAGGAGTGCAAAATTGAGGCTTAATAAGATCTCCTGGTCGTTGGCCCCTACAAATTATAGTTTGCACTTATTTTATACCTTTTAACAGTGATTTTAAAACAGGCACTCATAGTAAGCCACAGCCTTTGGTTACAAGTAAAAGTTTTTTGGTTCTAGAGTAAAACACCAGCTATAGTCTTAAACCCTGTAAATCATAAAATAGACTTTTTGTCTATATATATGACGTTTCCATCCTAATCTATACCAGCCTAAATGCATAATTAAAAAATGACTATGAATGTTTGTTGCCATATTTCTGATCATGGATTTAAAAACAAGCCGGTAAAATATACAACTTTACGATTTGTATTTAGACTGGCAAATACATGGTTTATTAGTTTTTTTTTTAAATCAGCTTAGTCATATGTTTTTGAAATAAGCCTCTTGTCACTAAACTGTTATAAAGAAAATTTGTGAAAATCCAAGAATTTGTTCCAAATTATCGCATACCTATAAAACGAAAACGGAGTAAACTCGATAAACGCCGAAAAAAACACGACCGAACAGGAAAATAAACCAAACTAAAACAATATTTAGGTCAAAAAAGGCGGAAAACAATCAAAGTGATACCCACACTGAAAATTCGAAGAAAAACTGACAACGCAATAGCAAAAAACAAAAAACAAAAAAACGACAAAAAGACAAAATACAGTACAGATACAAAAAAAAAAATGAGCGACACGAACCCAGCTTAAAACCGGGTTTGATATCAGGTGCTCTTACCACATCTGGCACTCATTTTGTTGAAAAGTGGAACCAATTCGTTATCATCTTGGAAACAGATATTCCATAACGGTCAACAAGCTCGCGATAGCGTTCGTTCAATTTTTAAAGGGAAAAGGGACGAATTCTACGTCATTACGTACGCGTGGAACCCTTGATTTTTTGTTAACAGCAGATAAATTATCGAAGATAACGGACTTGTAAATTGGCATGTCGAACGAGACATTTACCTGCTTCAGGTTCATCCGAGGTACTCAAATTAAGACAGGTGGAAACCAGATCAAATACCGAAGTGGGGAAATTCAGAAAAGTTGTTGAACTACTGCTAGAACAATTAATGTCTGTTGGTATAAAATTCTAACTGTTTAGAATATATTTCATAACAAGTGAATGAAAATAAAACTGTATTGTTTCGTTCATCATTTTGAAGAAATCCTCATCAAAACAAAAATACTTAAACAGGGCTAAACATAATTTAAGACAATAGCCGGAAAATACATTTGTGGCGGGATAAAGCATGTATTTTATGAACTCGATCTGTTGAAAAAACCAAAACCTTTGAAGAAAAAAATAACTGTATATGAACTATAAATAAAAATAACCAATCAATGCGAGCAATTTCTACACAATTTAGCAATCGGTCAACATAACGACCTTGCACGCTATTATTAATTATTTCATTCCGCATTTATTCATGAATGCATTCCGAATTTATTAATGATCAAAGCAAAAAAAAAAAGCAAAACACAATTTGGTGCGATGTCTGAAATTTATTCTGGAAATAATGAAAGATGCAATCATAAATGTAAAGACAAACATTCTTTTATTTCAGATAATATCATAATAGAATGAAGAGTGGAAACGGAGAATGCGTCAAAGAGACAACACCCAACCAAAGCACTCTTAAGGATGTACACCTCTGAGCAGACAAAAAATTCTAGAATTAAACTAGAAACTTAACCTGATTTTTGGGTTTATATGACTCTAACAAAATAATTGGTGAAGAAAAAATCTTATGGTGGTGCACTTCTTTTTTTGCTACAGCCCTTTGAAAGTACCCAATTGTGATGATTTTCCCATTTTTCATCAATTTTTACCTATTTTGGGGCTATTATCGTGAAAAAATCACGGTTCCACAATTAAACTCTTTTTCATACTTTCAATAAAGATGAAGTGGACCAATCTGAATAAATTGAACAAAAAAAAAAACTATAGGTAGGTGTTAATATAAGAAAGTTTTAACATATTTTGATGCTTTTTTGTGTCAAATTTACCATGCTGTCAATTTTGTAAATTTGTGATTTTTCTCAGGTTTAAGTACAAAATGCATATTATTTCTACTTTATTGTTATAAATGATTGAAAAAATACATATCTCAGAAATTGGAAAAGAAAAAAATAATATGGGATGTACATGATTCTGGTAAAATCATTTTTTGTACCCTTCACCCATTTTATCAAAATTTTGGCTAAAACAACTGACTTGATTGGTCGTAAAATTTACAAAATTGATTACTCAAAAACTATTCATTGTAAATACACAATTTGTTCACAGAGTTAAGTTTAATTATAACATTTTTAAAATTCATTGATATTTTCCACTTGTATCACATATTTTGGAAATAATTCCAGAACGAGATTTCAACGAAACTAAAACGTCAGAAGAATACATCCTTAAACGCTGCGAAGATTCTGCATTCAGAGGCGGGCCTCAACTTGTTCCTTAACAATCATGTATACTAGTACAAAACGCCATACTTTACTCCGAAATATACAAAAGAAAATTTCCTGGAAGGGAAACTCATTTCCATAATATTACTAGCCCAGTAGCCAGTACTGCAGTACTAGTATCGACATACGGATTTTGTGTTATTTAAATTTCCTGTCACAAAGTTTCTGAAACTATTTGAAATTGTGTTATAAACATGTATCTCCCTCATGCAAATTTCTGATTCCTCACTCGACTTCTGCTATACTTATTTTTAATTTATGATTTATATGCTCTTCATTGTGTTCTAATACGCTTTGAAATTTTATATGTTTTTTTGCCTCGCGTAATACTGAAGAGACATTTATTGACGAAAAGTGCATCTGATGCAGAAAAACTGGTACTGTTTATATCTTATTATAAATGTTAATGAAAATATCGATAAATTATTTTATCTAAGTGGTATGCATAAACAATCTTAAACTAAGTATTTCCTAAGTAAAATCTTAGTTGTTTCAGTAATTCGTTCTTGATTGCTAAATATAAACGATCATCGTAATGTTCTTCAAATCACGTATAATCAAGAGATAACAGAAGGTAGTAATATACTTCATTCTACCCTTAATTCTCAAACTCGTTGTTGTGTATACCGAAAAGTACTCAGTTTTTACACGCATGGAATTCATGCTGCTTTTTCTCTTGTGCTTACTTTACACAAATGACTTTGAACGTTGAATTGTTATAATACATCGCGTGGTATCACTTGTAACCGTTTGTAAACAGTATGAAGGAAGGAAGAGATGAGGAACGTCGAACATGCAATTCCCTGTTTTCTGTGTGTGGGGAGATCATTTGAATTTTCAATTATTTAGTTTTATTCTAAAGATGTAGGGCAAATTTCCCCTAAATTTGTTTTTCTTCCAGGGACAAAATCGTAAAGTTTTAAGACCTACCAAGAGGTGGATTTTAGAGGGCATAGACCTCCATTTTGTTAAAAAATAAATTGGTTGATTGTTAAGGAAATAACTGGAGCGGCGCCCCTCTATTGGCAGTCAGTGCCCCCCCCCCCCCCCCCCCCAATCCCTTATCAAAATTTCTTGATCCGCCACTGCTACCCAATGAAATTGGAAGTTTATATAACGTATTTATTATACCCAAACCTATTAAATTATTTTTCATATTTCCTTATATATTCAATGATATATTGCTTTTAGCGAAAATATTGCTAAGTACGCTTAGATGTTGATAATAATTTACCGTTTAAATATGAATCTTGTAATAATGTGTTTTAGTAAAGATTGTAGAACTTTTGAAAAATGCCTTATTTTTTATATGGATTCATGGAAAATTGTTCATATCCCCTCTTTTGTTTGTAAAAGGTAAGTGATAAAAAAGTTTATTTCAAATCGAAATATGTTTTTTAAAACCTCAACTAAAATGTAAGCAGGTGGTCTGGAAGAGGAGACGACAGCCCACGAGAAGCTGAGCGATTAAAGTAAAATTCTTATTGAAAAAATAAAATTATAAAATTATTATTAAGCACAAATGCTACACTGGTGCTACGCCATTGAAACCTATATCGTGTTTTGTTAAAGTTTAAAACGTATTGTTTTCTCCAGAAAATATTACATCCATGAAATATGAATTAAAGATTAAGTACGGGAAAGTTTTGGATTACAAATATTTTTTTTTCTTCCCATGCTCATCCATCAAAACATCAACCTTTTCTCTTATGCGCCAATTTTTCATCTGTTTCAACATTGTACTATGTTACGTAATATTGAATTGTTTTACATACCAATATCAATTTAGCCCAAGCTCTTTAAAATAAAGATATGTATCGCTCAATCAATGTAAATAATCACAACAAACTTTTACACGGATGAGTACATAGTGATGAGCTAATATTATTATCATACGGTAATTAGAGAAAGGTTCCGATTTAAGTATTTCTTAGTTAAGTGAGCTAAGAGAATTCTTAGTGAAATCTAAGTTTAAGGAACACTTAATTTATGATGTTTCATGCATACGGGCCCTTGCGGAACATACTGAGTATATACCTATGCACATATATGATACAAATAATAAGTTTAAATTCTAAGAAAGCAAGTAAAAGGGGATTGTAAAATTTATGAGGTTAAATTTGATTCTTTTCCTAACTGTATTATATGGGTAGATCAAGGGAAATCTTGGATGCTTAAAATTGTTTGTTTTTTTCTTCACTTCTTTCCCCCTTATAAAGGATTGATCTCTCTTGTGACTGGTAAGCCACACATCATTATATTGACCAATAACTGATTTTACGTTAGATTTGAAGTACGTTTTTGATAAAGTCAATGTAACAAAATTAACATAACATAACAGTAGATGAATAGTTGTATAACTCCCGTAAATCCATCTATAATCAGAAATGCCTAAATTGTTAAGAGATAATTTGCCTTCTAAATGTACTCACATATTGTTAAAAAGTTTCTGAGAAGTTTATTATATGGTTCTCTGACATGACGTGTATGTTATTATTCATATTTATTCATATTGTTTTGAAATAAGAGACAATTTACATTCAGAAACAAATTATACATGCAGTAGTGATATAATTTTTTTCATATATGTATATGCTCGGAAACGGGCCCTTTAACTTGATTCCGTAAACATTCTTCTAATTCTTTTTATATAAGAGATATCATTTGCCAACTTGAAATTAATATAAGTAATTAATAAAACAAGAAATGTTTGAACACATGAATTCCCTTTTTTGGTCAGATTATTTGATTGGTCTTACCTCCATCTCTGGAATGGCGAAACCTTACACACGTCTATTAGGAAGTGTATAACCTTTTCTTGATTCCTTTCAACTGCTGCATGTAATGCTGTTCGACCATCATTATCTGATAGGTTCATATCAGTTCCCATATCGTGCAAACTATAACATATAATAAACATTGGACGGCAGATCCATATTTCAATATTGTTCAGTTTAAAATCATATTTTCGTTTAATGTTATTCTGTAAAATGTGTTGCCAATTGTCAATGGTGCATCCGGGGGGCATATTTGTCTATATAAATGTTCCTATCTTTTACTTTAAGACAAAATGGTTCAAATGAACTGGAACATTATACATTTGTTTTCACCTTACCTTTTTTATTATAGCGATTACTTGATAAACTGTATTCTTGAAATGGCAGTCGAGTGCAATTAATTAGGTGTTACATGTTTATATAACCGTATTTATCCGTAGAAGATATTGAGTGTCTTGTACAGGGACTTCCCGGTTTTGGTGCTTTTAGTTTTCCCTAACTGCTTGTTTTCAAGGTGCTAGCAGCTTACAATTACATGAGAAACACAAGAAACACATGTCTTTGCAACATAAAAAAGTTTCATACATGTACATTTCTAATCTCCTTTTTCATTAATTTTGTATTTACAGTTTGTCATAGATCATATTTATTCGTTCAGTGTATTGTTTATTTGTTTTCGTTATATGTCATTTGATTAAGTTAAATCATTTCAATTGATATTTTATAGTGTGTCTGTCTATGTTGGGATGTTACACTATTACTGCAGGTTATAATGAAGGTTTGCGTCTGTTAAAACGTTTAAACCCGACTCATTTGTTTGCACTTGTCCTGTTGTTCAGTGGTTGTCGTTTGCTGATGTGCTTCATAAGGTTTTCTCGTTTCTCGTTATTTTTTATAGATTAGACCGTTGGTTTTCCTGTTTGAATGGTTTTACACTAGTCGTTTTGGGGGCCCTTTTAAGTTTGATGTTCGGTGTGAGCCTAGGCTTCGTGTTGTAGCCGTACTTTGACCTATAATGGTTTACTTTTACAAATTGAAACCTGGATGGAGAGTGTTCTCATTGGCACATATACCACATCTTCTTATATCTATGTATATTTGTTTGACAAAAACAGAATTATTTTCACAGCAAATTAAAAAAATTATATTGCATAGTAAAGGACTTACAAATATCTTGTAGAGGAAAAAACGACATTACGGGGCTTAGGGTTAACAGTTCGCCGAATGAATCAATTTGCAACCGTTTCAAACTAAAGTTCAATGATTTTACCTATTAAAAGATAATCAAGCAGGAAGTGTGTAGTTTCTTTGTTCTATAAACGAAAACTGAAATAATGATGCTTGGGACTGATTGAATTTTGATCTGTCAAATTTCAATTCATACATCTTATATGTTTCTAAATGTATGTCTGGATAATATTCTAACATTAGACTTATATATTCATATAAATAGACTGAATAAACTTTTCTTTTAGCACAAGGCGGGTAGATTGTAAAGAAAGGGGTCTTTGTTATACATTTATTGTAAGTTGGAAATGATTAATTCCAATTACGCAGATCACTATAGATTAACAATTAAGATTTTGAATTTATTCAATTAATCTTATATTTGAATTTACCTTTGCAATACGGAAACATCTCCAAATTCTGCAGCTTTCATCATTTTCATAACAACACAATCTTTAAAACTACACTACAACATTAACAAAAAATAATAAAAAAACATTTAAACTTTTTAAAGTAAAAGGATCCAGGTTGCATATTTTGATTCTTTCATTTACTAGTATTGGATTTAAAAGATTCTTCTGTTACGAGAATTAGTTTTCAGCTTTCCGACCAGGGACAGATTTCTTTTTAAAGATATTGAGATATGTAAAATATTTGCGCGAATGTAAAGTTGCGGGAAAATTTAGATGGAGGCCTGATTTGAGTTAACTGCTTTTTTTCCTTAAAAACGCTTAAAACAAATACAAATGATACTTCACACCGCCTTATATTCCATATATAAGGCTTAAATAAAAGTGAAAAAAACACATCATATGAATGTTATGTGATTAAGGTGCTTTTCTAAATTAACCTTCACCAGGAATAATAAAAGCCAAATTGTTGAAGAGCCGTATGACAAAAAAGAATCTAGAAAATAGCCAAATCTATCTAAGGAAAACTTTGCCTTAGGGATTTTAAACCTTAGTTTCTTTATAATTTTTGAAATCTATAAACGGATAACATAAGAAAGCATAGTTATCAATCATGTCAGTACAGCATGTCAGTACAGTAATACTGGCTACTGGGCTGATGATATAATCTGGGACTAAAAGACTACAACAAGAGGCATGGACCCAGTGCTGTACAAAGTAAAAACAACACATTATGTTTAATAACTATTCTAAATGACCATTACTAGAAAACAAAATAACAAGAGAGTAGAATGTGTTTAGATAACAACTAACATTGTTTTACTATATTTCAATTTTAAGAGTGCACTTAGATTGATTGTCATTTGTATTTTGTGTATACCGTATGTGATCTACATGTACATGTTCTGATTTATCTTTCGTACAGATATGCATACTTATGGTTAGATTGCAGTGTGATAGTAGTGAGTGACAATATGAGTAGTTTTTTTTTCATTTTTTTCAAATTTACGTCAATTTTAAAAAGAAGATGTGGTACGATTGCCAATTACGCAATTCTTCGAATTTTTGCTGTCTTCGCTGTTTTCTGCTCTTTGGTCGGGATACTGTCTCTTTGGCCAATTACACATTGACATTATCAGTTTTATTGATTGATATTATTCAAATATTAACTCTTAATAACCATGGTCAGATGGTGATTGTAGGGGAGCGCCTGCATACGGAGTATATATCTCCCAATTGATACGATATTCAAGGGCCTGTATTTCCTATCATGATTTCCTTGATAGAGGATTGCTGCTCACAAGTAAGCTATTAAACCAAGAGTTCCAAATGGTGAAGTTGAAATCATCCCTTCGTAAATTTTCACGAGTTGGTTGTCCGTTATGGAATAACCGTTTCACAGATGATATCGGATATGTTCCTTAGGTTCTAATTACAATCCACTTCCCTTTTCTCGAATGTGACCTTCCGAATGAGACTATTTACCGGGTTTGTAATAACATGAGCAACACGACGGCTGCCACATGTGGAGCAGGATCTGCTTACCCTTCCGGAGCACCTAAGATCACCCCCAGTTTTTGGTGGGGTTCGTGTTGCTTAGTATTTAGTTTTCTATGCTGTGTCTTGTGTACTATTATTTGTCTGTTTGTCTTTTTCGTTTCTAGCTATGGCGTTGTCAGTTTATTTTCGATCTATGAGTTTGCCTGTCCCTCTGGTAAGTTTCGCCCTCTTTTAAAGTCATGACTAATGACAACAAGTAAAAGATTAAAGACAAAAATATATATGAAACAAAGCATTTGTCTTCCAAAGTGCTTTTAAATTCGAACAGAAATGGTACAATACGAAGAAAAAAAAACAATTGATGTTTAAGAGCTACATCATCAGGACCCCATTTGTACACTTAAAAACAAAAACGGGTTAGGAATGTCTTTACAACGAATTCTTTATCGTTATTAGGAGCTATATGTGTCGTTTAAACAACATGATTAGTATTTTGAAATATTGATAGCTTTAAATCATAAGAATTTATGAATAAAAACATTAATAATTCTATCAAAGAAATTTTAAATATTCAAATATATTATAGATGTTCTTGAATGACGTCTGCCTCATATGAAAAAGGAGCAGGTCGACACTAAAAGGTTAATCGAGTTCTATATCAATTAAAACTTCATGTTTCCAAAATAAGATATCAATAAATACACACGTAATATGCTGTGTGTAAAAACGTCATAAATGTCTATATTTGGATCATTTTATAGGAAAGAAGCTATTTCACATGTTTCATTTGATGATACTGTTAGTTTTTGTTAGGAATGTCAACGAGTACTCGAGTATCGCTCTGTAGTACCAAGTATCGATTAACAAAATAATACTCGACTAATCGGTTTCCTGTTAGAATATTGTTGCTTTCTTAAGGGGGATCGGGTGTCTTCCTCCATCTTGGATTTTGAAGTAGCATATAACGTTGGTCTAGATCTTTGATGAAATGTGCAAATTGTGAGAGTAGTATGTAATTTATGAGGGTCGGTTGAAAACAAAACTTTACGACAAAAGAGATGATTTCAGCTTCCCAATTGTGAACTTTCCATTTCTATGTAACAACATTCCAGCAGCGCCTGCATACGGAGTATATATCTCCCAATTGATACGATATTCACGCGGTTGTGTTTCCTATCATGATTTCCTTGATAGAGGATTGCTGCTCACAAGTAAGCTATTAAACCAAGAGTTCCAAATGGTGAAGTTGAAATCATCCGTAAATTTTACTGACGCCATCACGAGTTGGTTGACCGTTATGGAATATCCGTTTCACAGATGATATCGGATATGTTCTTTATGTTGTAACTACAATACCCTTCCCTTTTCATGAATGTGACTTACCGAATTAGACTATTTACCGGATTTGTAATAACATAAGCAACACGACGGGTGCCACATGTGGAGCAGGATCTGCTTACCCTTCCGGAGCACCTGAGATCACCCTCAGTTTTTGGTGGGGTTCGTGTTGCTTAGTCTTTAGTTTTCTATGTTGTGTCATCTGTACTATTATTTGTCTGTTTGTCTTTTTATTTTTGGCCATGGCGTTCTCAGTTTGTTTTCGATCTATGAGTTTGACTGTCCCTCTGGTATCTTTCGTCCCTCTTTTATGTGTAAGACTTTTGATCTAAATATAGAAAATTGTGTGTTTTATCATAATTACGGCTGTAATTTCTCAAAAACACCTTATTTTTGTTTGATTATTTTTTTTTTCAATTTTGCCAAATAAGGGGAAATAATTCAGATCAAGTAATTTTTATAATGGAAAGCGTTGTGAATTTACTTATTTTAATCTGTAGCAAGAAAACAAGTTTGGTGACCCCATTGTTTTCTTATCTGAAAGCATGTTATAAGAGCTATCTTCCCACATTTTATCTTAAAATTCTATCATGTAGTTTTCTTTTTATCACACAAAATTTGATTTTCCATGCATAATCTATACAAAATCTGACAATTTTGCACAACCTGTAACAGGAAAAAAGTCCAGTGACCCCTACTTTTTATTATATTTTTGAAAAAAGCATGATAAAAACTTCTTTTTGACAAATTATAAAAAATTATATCAATTTTAATTAAGACGCCCCAGCCACCTTAAGCTAAACCAAAGATATTTTTTAAATGAGAGCGCCTCTCGGGAATTTGAATATTAATCATACATAATTAAAATTTAAATCCGATTCGAATGTTGGCGTTTAACTGTCATAGTAAAATTCCTCTTAAAAGACGGAGGATACATATGACCAAGAGCACTTTTCCAAGGCTTACACTTTTAGCTAAGCTTAGTCATTCCCCCACCTCTGTATCGTCAGAGCATATATTTAATAAGCAGGACTGTTAGTTACATAACTTAGTTGAGAAATCGCCTTGTCCCTCACAAAGTGGACCAGATAATATTTGTCAATAAGAACAAATTCGTTACACCCTGTGTCAGTCATCAGAAAATGCTTGAAGGCATCAGTAAGTTCTAATCATCACCCCGTTGGTAATAATTAAATGAGTTTTTTACTTTTTACGGTTCCCAAATACTGTTGTTTGAATAATCATTTTTCTATGGATATTAATTAATTACTTGATTAGATTATTGTCAGCTTACATAATTATACATTGAGTAAATGGGCTATTAATTATGACATGAATTCATTGGACTATTATTTAGTCCTAGGTATTTATGTTGATGGTTTTACGTTCATAAGCCAACTACCAACAATACATAAACAGGGTATAATTGGGTTTTTCCATTTGTAAATGTTTTGCAGAGCGAGAACTCGAGTATCGCTCGGTTAATCCAAAGAGTACTCGATTAGTAAATCTTCACCGAGTTGACATCCCTAGTTTTTATACAGTGTATGTTTATTTTATTTAGTATTATGCTTTTTCTATTCATTCGGTTTTGCATGTTCATCACGTTCGTTTTTTTCGGCTTTCCAACGTTTTTTTTATCCAAGCGCTATTGATGAATCTTGTGTAGACGAATCGGTCATCTCTTCGACTGTATTTTTTAGCTTGGTATCTTTCATTTTTACTTTGATGAGTTTTTGAATATCATACTGATTAACAAGGACTGGCCTTGCCACTTAACTAATTAGACAAACACATATGAAATATTTTGTAATCATGTCATAATATTACAAGCATTTTTTATGCATAAGATAATATGTATTACATAAGACTTCAAGAGTTTGTTTTATTATGTAACAAAGATATAACAAATTTTTTTTTAGATATATGTATACATAATCAATAAATGCTCTTTATCGTTTATGGCATGGTATTGGTTGCAAAAATTTGATATTTTTCATTTAAATGCAATATTTCTTATTTAATTGGTATATTTCTTCATTTAAATGCAATATTTTTTTATTTGAATGGTATATTTTTTCATTTAAATGCAATATTTATTATTAAGATGGTATAATTTTTCTTTCAAATGGTATAATTTTTCATTCAAATGGTTTAATTTTCATTCAAATGCAATAGTTTTTATTCAATTGGTATAAAATGTCATTTAAATGCAATATTTTTTATTCAATTGGTATAGTAGTTTTTTTTATTTATATGCAATAATTGCATTATGGGAAATTCTTTGACGTCATAAGGTCAAATTTGCAACAACGTTTGTGATTGGTCGGAAATTGTTTGGATTTCTCCCCTTTCTTTCCAAACATGGGTGACCAAGAATTGAAAAACGCGTCAGAATATCGCCCCTCTAACTAAATCTAACGTTCGTGCGAGTCCTGCAATTGCTGTTAAAATCTTGTGGTCATAATTAGTATTTCTATTGCAAAATTTCGATGGTCAAAACGTTGGGTCCACTTTTCAAAAACCGTTTCATTGTATATGGATTTATATGCAAGTATATCGTTTTTTTTAAATAGATTAGACACCGTTGGTTTTCCCGTTTGAATGGTTTTACACTACTAATTTTTTGGGGGGCCTTTATAGCTTGCTGTTCGGTTTGAGCCAAGGCTCCGTGTTGAAGACCGTACGTTGACCTTTAATGGTTTACATTTGCAAATTATGACTTGGATGGAGAGTTGTCTCATCGGCACTCATACCATATCTTCTTATATCTATATACAACGTAAACCAGACGTTTCTCAGACTGTTTTCTTTTTTTAATAAATCCTTTGCTGCGCGTTGTGTACTGATTGATAACTCAGTCTGGGAGAACAAGATTTATTTCAGTACCAGTTATAATTAGGTTTGAGCAATCTTCCAGTAATTGCAAATACTCTTATGTCGGTGCTTTGTGTCTATTGTCTTTATGTTAGTTTTTTTGTGTGTGTCGTACCGATCTTTTGAGTTAATTTGCTGATTTGTGCAGGTTGTTATTTTATTGTACTGTTTCACCACTGTCCCAGCTTCGGGATGGGTTGCTCACAAACATGTTGTTGTACTGTTACACCGCTGTCCCAGATTAGGGGGAGGATTGGGTCCCGCTAACATGTTTAACCCCGCCACATTATGTATGTATGTGCTCATCCCAAGTCAGGAGCCTGTAATTCAGTGGTTGCCGTTTGTTGCTTTGTTATACATATTTGTGTTTCGTTCATTTTTTTGTACATTAATTCGGCCGTTAGTTTTCTCGATTGAATTGTTTTACATTTTTGATTTCGAGGCCTTTTATAGCTGACTATGCGGTGTTGGCTTTGCTTATTGTCGAAGGCCGTACGGTGACTTATAGCTTATTGATTTCTGTGTCATTTGATCTCTTGTGGAGAGTTGTCTCATTTGCAATCATACCACATCTTCGTTTTTATATCCATCCTGCCATATTCTTTATTTGCCTGTCCCAGGGATGGAGCCTGTAGTTTAATGGTTGTCGTTGGTTCCTGTCTCGACTCATATTTGATATTTTGTAAATTGTTTTGTTATGTATAATTAGGCTGTTAGTTTTTTCGTTTGAATTGTTCACACTTTTCATGTCGGACCTTTTATAGACGACTTTACAGTATCAGGTTTTTGTCATTGTTAAAGGCCTTACGATTGTCTACAAAAAGAATTTGTCTACATGACGGCAAAAAGCTCTACAGAGTTTATGTTTGTAGTATTTCATGTAACCCGACTTAAAACATTTTTTTCTTATCTTATCTTATCTTATCTATAATTGCTTACATCCACTTCATATTTGAACTCCGGTGGATAGTTGCCTTATTTACAATCATATTCCATCTCTTCATTTTTATATTATATACGTGACTTCTAAACTCGTGTTTTCCTGAACAAGTATGAAATAATTTTCACTGGGCGTTAAAATTAGCAACAAACAATCAATCAATTTAAACTTGTGTTAAATAAGAGGAAAACCATTTGATATTTATTTATTTGTTGGGGTGGGGGACAGAAGGATTTCATATATGAATATGGTTGCCTGGTAAGAGCTGAAAAATAGGCATGATTAGCGACAGATTGAAATGAATAATAATGCCCTCTCTTCCCTTCCCCATCCTTCATCTATAAATTTAAACTGACCACCACGGAATAGCCCAATAGTGTTGAAAGTAACGTTAAACACCAATCAATCAAAATCCCTTCCCTAGAATATCAAATAATTGTCCCTTAACTGTTATTGTCCGTGTAGTTCTTATATTTATCCAGCTTATCGTCCTACAGGGATGTCCTACTAAGGCTGTCATACCATAAAAACGTTTATAAAACAGCTCACATTCTTATATATCTGCATTCATAAATTTATTAATTTCACTTTAGACTAAACGACGTCATGATTGTTATGTGCCTCTGCCGTTAACCTATCAAAAGAGAAGAGGTGGAAGAGAGCCAGAAGATCTTCTCAATGCAAAAAAAACAAAACAGAAATGGACTTCTTCTGGCTCACTATCGAAGAACAAAAAATAAAAAAAAAAAAACGCGCCCCATTGATATGTTTAAAAAACGCCTTGCCCCTACCCTTTTTTTCCAAAAAAATGGCATTATTGAATATATAAACAGAGGATAAGGGACGACATCAGAAAATCAATGAATGATAAAAAACTTTATTCAAATAGTTTGGGGCGGGACCAAACCTATAGATAACATAGATAACATAATAATGAAATATACCGAATACGTTGATTGACTTTTGGTTGCCTTATGTCCAGTGGCAAATATGTCACGCATGTTTAGGACAAATATAATAGAGATCAAAGGATAAAGAATAGAGTGAAATGGTAAAAACTAAAAGATATAGAATTATAGAAACGATCTTTGATCTAAAACCCCTACCCTCACACACACACACACCATAACTATTACTGCCAATACTCGCATATATACATCTCTATACAAATATCTAACCCCCTTCTAGACACCGAGGTTTTGGATCCGCCCCTGTTAAATGTGTCTAATTATATGCATTTTGTACGGGTCTAGATAACAGCTAAACGTACAATCATATAATGTGTTGGATACCTAATTATATTATATAATGTGTCACAAAATAAACTTGTATACCCCCCTTCCCAATGCAGTATTGAAAAGTAAATCATTTAAAAGTCCTGAAGATAAAATTTGTTTTGAAATATGCCCTGCATACTTATTTATGCAAAGACATATAGTGATTATTGAACTAATGTGGGGCTTGAAAACAAAATCTATTTAAGGGATTCGGAGACGAGAACAGTAAAAAAAAGCTCAGCAACGAATCCTGAATGTAAAATGATTTGCAGCATAAGACATGAGAGCACATATTATAGATAGTATTAAATATGAAGTTCACGCCTCATATAGTGAAGTCCTATGTCATAGGACTATTGTTGTAACATGGGTTAGTAACTGGTTCCAATTTATCCTGAATTGTCTTTATTAAAGAATTAGTTCCGGAGTATAACAGCGTATGTCTCTACTTGTGGGCTTCTGGTTCTGCTGTCGTAAATGGGTGATTTTTTTTTCTACATGTAGTACAAAAGAGGGGGCTTAGTCCAAATAATTGTAACGTCCTGGATGCTTTATATTCTTTTTTCATGTGTGCCTTCCTGCAACGTCTCTGAGGATCAAGAAAAGTAAAAAATGATATAGCACTAAAGACCGTCATGATTACATGTATCTGGACTTAGAAAAGGGAGGGGGCTAGCTATGTATTTTTTTTTATTTCAATGTGTAGACTGTAGGAGAGTTTCTTCAGAAAAGGTTTTCATTGGAAGTGTTTTTGCCATGCACGCAGACATCTGTTTCTATCCATGAACAAGTTGTGTGTCAAATTAATTATTATTACTTATCACTCGCATTTTTTGCTCGTCCTGGCCATTATTGGCATTAACAGCCAGTGCACGAACTCGCACGAACGCCAAATTTAGTTAGAGGGGCGATATTCTGACGCGTTTTTTAATTCTTGGTCACTCAAGTTTAGAAAGAAAGGGGAGAAATCCAAACAATTTCCGACCAATCACAAACGTTGTTGAAAATTTGACCTTATGGCGTCAAAGAATTTCCCATAATGCAATTATTGCATATAAATAAAAAACTACTATACCAATTGAATAAAAAATATTGCATTCAAATGACATTTTATACCAATTGAATAAAAAATATTGCATTTGAACGAAAATTATACCATTTGAATGAAAAATTATACCATTTTAATGAAAAATTATACCATCTGAATAAAAAATATTGCATTTAAATGAAAAAAATATACCATTCAAATAAAAAAAATATTGCATTTAAATGAAGAAATATACAAAATAAATAAGAAATATTGCATTTAAATGAAAAATATCAAATTTTTGCAACCAATACCATGCCATAATCGTTGTAAATTATGATATGAATAGTTCGACCTATGATAATCTAATGATAATAAAACAGTTTTTACCTTATATTTCTGTAAACGTCTATCTTTATTTAAAAGATCAATTATTTTTTGCAAACTGCGTGTTGGTGCATTGCTATCATTACGTCCAATGTACCATGCTGCGTCCTCAGCAGCTGTATGTCCTAAGCACCTTAAAAAATCAAGTATATTGAAATTCTTAAAAAGGTCTAAAATCAATGCATCATCAACTGAAATAGAAAGGGCTACCTTACTACCAGCATATCCCACAAAAAAAAAGAAACGATACGATTTTTCAGGGAAAGTCTTTTTTGAGTAATTTTAGTTTGTTAACTCTATGTTAATTTTCGTGATGTCTATCATGAAAAGAAGCTAATTATGGTAGTTATACTCATTGAAGCAAGGCCGCCTTTAGCGTGTCATTCTTTGACTTTGAGCGCCAACATATATTCTATCGCTCAGTTAGCTTGTTATTCAACTACAACCGTTTAATATTTGAACAGCTATAGGTTTCTACCAGGGTAGTACCTAGCATCCCATAACTCAATATGCATAATTTTCATTAACATTAAAATGTTGTTTGCAGCATTTCCATAACAAAAACGCTCGACTAGAATTAGATCGGGGATTTCAATCGTTATCTGAGTTCATATCTATAAATATAGCGATTTTAAAATCATCTTTACCCTGCACTCCCTTTGGTCTCGCCTCAGGCTGTACTGGAGTATTTTAGGGTGGTAAAATACTAAAATTATATATATATATTTACATATAATTCGTCTCAAATTTAGCCCAAGAAGCTTAGACCTTCGAATTTGCGTTAGTTAATTTTTTTTCTTACCTAATCGGAATTAGAACCCTTGCATCTTTGACATCGTGGCAACACCACATGCACCGTGTCCAGCGCCATAGAACACTTTGGGGCATGGTTAATTAAATTATCATCCTTTACGACGGACATAATACCTAATCTGAAAGGTACATCATTTGCTCATTGTTTAATGCCACTATACAATATGTACTGTGTTAGAACCCCAGATAAAGCCGACAAGGAAAGGCATTACATCGACCACTGACAGCGGTATTTTTAATTTAGCCTAGGCGGTCTAATGGTCTAGAGCGCTAGACAAGGTGCAGGCAGTGTTGTCACATGCACAAGTGTTCGAATTCTACTGAGGGAAGAACAAATGTTGTTGTGCTAAATTTGAGACGAACTATATATACATCTAGAGCGCTGGATATGAGGCCAGGCGATAGGTGATAAAGTGTATCAAAGGTGTAAGTTTAAATCCCGTTCAGCGACAAGACCGGTACATACGGGAATTTAATTTAAGGAATCAAACCGTTGCTACAACAGCTACTGTAGTTGGGATCCCAGGATTGAAAACAATCAACTCACAAACAGACCGCAATCGACTGAACAACATGGCCTGACATTAGACCGAGAGGCTGCATTTTGCACTAGTTTTGAGGCCGTTACACAGACGGAATAGAGCCAGATGGTATAAAAAATTTAGAGGCTTGACATTCCGCAAATGGCGTAGAATCTGGTTCAGTGATGAATCACATTTTGTGCTTCAGAGACATGATGGAAAAACTCGTGTATACCGGTGCATGAATGTACGTTTTGCTTACTAGTGTGTCCAAGAAGTGGACAGCTTCGATGGAGGAAGTGTCATGGTGTGGGCGGCTATCTCAAATTACCGTAAAACGGAATCGGTACATGATCCGGGTAATTTAACGATTGAAAGAGACAACATTATCCAGCCTCACCTTATTCATGTCATTGACCGAAAGAGGGAGTTATTCCTGAAGGACAAAGGTCTCGCACAGCGCGTTTAACAATTGGGATGCGGGATGGGATGATTTAAGGTGGAATATTGTAGTATAATGAGAATAGAAGAAAATCATGCCCATTCAAGATGATAATGAGAAGGCTGCTGCATTTCTGCTTCAAATTATCAAAAGAAATTTGAAAATGAAGCTATACGAAATAAACAATATGACTTAGCAATAGATGAAAATGAAATATTATGTATAATCTGTCCGAGAAAAATCCTCCCCCTGATCCCCTTAAAAATGAAATTATTGTCCACTTATGCTCTTAATGTCATAAAAAAATTGTTCTCCAATATAAAAATAAAAAGATGTGGTTTGAATGCCAATGCGACAACTATCCATCAAATTCATATGAAGTGGATTTAAGCAATTATAGGCAACTGTACGGCGTTTAACAATACCGTACCCACATCGTGTAGTTTGCTTTAAAAGGCCACAACGTGAAAAATGTGAAACATTTCAATTGAGTAGGTTGTATGGCACATTAGGTACATTACCCATCAAAGTTATTTTAAAAATTCATCCAATTGCTTGTGTAACTAGCATGTTTTCCTATACACAAGGTAAATTTACATGTACCATTTATTTAAAACAAATCAAGACTTTTGCTGTTGGTTTTACTAATGAACGTTTTCTAACTTCCTACTATTCCTTCAATGAAGCAAAACCTCCATAGTACCAGTTTACACTCATGCATTTGCAGTTTGAAAATACGAGAATCCTTGGAACCCAATGAATTCATTTAATTTCTCGGTTGTTGCAGACGTCACATGCGTATATATTGATTCCGAAAAAAATATTCAAAACTTAACTTTTATAATCACGATCATTAGTAAACCTTTCTGCATGCATTTTTGGTTCGACAACGGTCAAATGTAAACGACGGTCAAATGTAAACGACGGTCAAATTATATTTTCCGTCTTGGGAGTGGTCCTCACTATGACATACTCAAAAGAAATTGTGTTATCTTCACGAATTATAATCACAAAATATTCATCAAACTTAAGATGCTAAAACAAACTTAACCTAACCATAAACGAACCAGAAATAATTATCTTGCAATGCACGCCGTTCAACCATGTATTTACGTACAAGCGGTTATTGATTTATAGTGGCGAGTACGCAACACCTCACAATACGCAGGAAATGTTGATATACCTCGGAATGCCAATCCGTCTCACTATTCCTATCCTAGATGAGAATGAACAATAGAAAAATCTTAAGCTAAAACATCGACAATACAAAATATGTAGATAAATAAATAAATAACCTATCTTTTCTTTCGAGATGGCCAGCATTGTTCTGCAAAAGGTATACCACTGCATCATACTTTCCTTCACATGCAGCTAAATGCAACGCACTTCTTGTGTCGTAATCTGTATCATTTATATCAATGTATTTTTGGTTACATATTCTACAATGAAAAACAAACTTTTCTTCAAGCACAGTCTGAAGATACCATGACCTTGTATATAAATATTCCATATTTCAGAAAGTATACACGACGGCCTTGAAGTATAAATTCTAGGTCCTGAAGTTCTTTTTCATCTTAATTACGTGTTATAGTTTTCTTTTATTTATCATTGTAATTTGTTACTTAAACTCTAGACTCTTTATTCAATTTCTGGGTAATATCCTATTGACGTGGCTCAGTACATATGAATCCCGTCATTGTGTTATTGTACTATGGTAAATACTTGTATACTTGTCGTTCGTTTTTGATAATGTGCTTTGTCTATATATATATATGCCTTTTTGTTTTCCTTTGTTAACATGTTTGTTTGTTTTTATAATGATTAAGATTACAACACAATGTTAATTGCTTTACCTCTATTTTTTTAACATTTTTACCTATTGTGTATTTTTGTTTATTCACACATTGTGTCATACAAGTTTAGCGAGATTTTAACCCAGGTTTAATCCACCATTTTCTACAAGTCCGGACAGTTGTTTAATGTGAGCTTTTGATGTTGCCATTTGATTAGGGACTATTTTTCTTGAATATTTTACAAAAAAATATAGCCGCGGAAATAATTATAAGTTAAATAAGTATTCTGAAACAATTATAAACTTTGGCGTAAATAAGTAAAACATCAGTAATTCTTAAGATAACAGTTTAAATTTCAAAGTTAAATGCTGATAATTTCAAGATTAAAGCTGAATGTTCCAAGATTAAAGCTGAATGTTCCGAGAAGAAAGTTGGAAATTCAACATTTAACTATATAATTCCGAGATAACAGTTGGAAATTCAAAAAAGAAAGCTGACAGTTCCAAGATTTAAGCTTGAAATTCAAAGGATTAAAGATGATAATTTCAAGATTAAAGTCAACAATTTAAAAACAACGAAGGATGGCATTTTTACGGTTTCGTAGTATATATATACAAAACGGATAAAATGGCAATGTAAGGAAAATAATTACGAAAACGATTTTATTGATGTATTCTGATATAAATAGAGATGCTTGAATTAATATCAATCTCGCCAAGTTGACCACATTGACTATAACATAGTTTCTCTCTATCTACTAATTGTTTCTGCAAAACACAATTATCGTTAAAAAATGCAATTCAATGGCAAAAGAGGCGACTAATCGTTGCAGCCATGTTAGCTTCAATCGGAATAAAAGCAAGAGCATTAACAAACTATTTTACTTTTATTGTGACCACATGACAGCATTTATGAATACAAAATCTTGCCTAAGAAACTTTAGTCTTCATTTACTCACAATTACGGAATGCATAGCTTGACTGAACATGAAACTGTACATTGTTAAACTTCGCATCATTTTTTTAAAAACAATTACCTTTTTAACTGTTTCATGTCACCTTCAGAAGCTGCTTTGAGTAATTTATAAATCTGTAACTCGTAATGCTCATTGTACACATTTGGAGGCTGTAATATACATTTAACTATTTGAAATTAACTTCCGAATGAATACACTGAATAATTCGAAAATTGAGTTACATAAAAGTATACAAGACAATTACCATAGGAAAAGAAAACCAAAGATATTATACAGAGCATAAGTGGAAGAAAAGTGGAAAATACTTTGCCAAAAGGAAGAAAGACGAATGACAGAAAAAAGTGCGCACAAAAATTATTGACATTGAAAGAGTGGCCCTTTTTGAATCAGTGTAAGGGTATCTGTCGGTCAGTTATATATGATAGAGCTGTCAGAATCAGGTCAAGAGTAAAACTGACAGATTCAATTGTAGGGCATGAAATTCAGCATCAATTCTAGGGTAAAAATGTCAGAATCAATTATAATGCAGTACTGTCAAAAACAATTCTTGATCAGTGTCAGTATCAGTTCTAGGGTAAATCTGTCAAAATCAGTTATATTCACAATCAGTTAAAGGGAAATAATGTCAGATTTTTTTCTAGGGCAAGGCAGTCAGAATCAGTTATAAGACATACATTTTAGTATCAATTCTTGATCAGGACTGTCAGAATCAGTTCTAGGATAGAACTGCCGAAATAAGTTATGATATAGAACTGCCGAAATAGGTTATAGTAGTATACAATGGTATAGGACTGCCAGAATTAGATATATAATAAAAAGTAAAATAACAAAAATACCTCACTGCATTGAAAATTCAAAACAAAAAGTCCCTATTCAAATGGAAAAACCAAAAGCCCAAACACATCAAACGAATGGTATATAGTATCAATCGTGTTCACATGTTGAAACTACAAAGTTTGTTCGAAGTTGTTAATTGATCAACTATGAAATAATGACAAGGACTCGGTAACGTAATCAGGCAAGGTGGGTGGGAAAGGGGAGGGGTGTAGAAGGTTTACGTTTCCCGCTTTTGATTGTAAAATATATAATTGTTTTACACAAAATCATCAAGTTTTATTTATTAATTAGAACGACGGCTACATTTGAACTGTGCAGTATATTTGAGGTAGTGATTGCACGCATAAGCGTTGAATTATCCAGATTAAAGCACAGTAAGAACAAACACATCTTGTCTATGTCATGTGTTAACTAAAGTTACCTGCACTAATTGATGAGTGGAAAAAAGGAACACCACATATACAGTACCTACAAAAAATATTCTATTATTAGTGTATTTATTATCTAAGAACATTCGAGAAATGTAGCACGAGGTCAACTATCGTTTATCTTAATATCAAAATTACATAAGTTACTACAATATATATAGCATATATAAACAGATAATGTGTAAAACTATCAATATTTGATCGCTGAAACAATTGCTTTGCACAAATGTATTCAAACATTTCTTTTAAAAGAATTGTTAAAATGACGCATCGTATTTATGAACAATCTGAATATAGATTATTCTTTCAAATTGATAGAAATAAACCTTTGAGTAAATGCAACTTACCCAATAGTACACAAAATACTAATATAGAAACTCCAACTGCTACAATATTCCAATTGTGTTCCACAAATATGATGGCAATAACTGCAAAACGGAATATGTTATTTTGTATACAAACTTTTTACTACTAAACTTTACATTTATAGTATTCTGAAATGCTTTCAATTTGTTATAAAAACAGTTTCAAACAGGTTTTATACATTTTATGTAAGAACATATGAACATAGGGTAAGCTGACATTAAAGTCTTGTTTTTAAATTCTTTAAAAATGGAAACAGGGAATGGGGGTATAAAATGTACTGTAAAAGAAAGAGTATATACAGTGATTTCTTGAACTCTGATCCTGATAAATAAGTATTATTGTGAGATAAAGCATTTTTCAAGAGTGTTCTACTTTGCATAAATGTTAGTTAAGGTTGCACTTTGTAAATACAGCTGTTTCATTAATCACGCGTCTTTTGGGGAGATAAATAATATTCATAAATATTTTGTTTTGTTTACTTACTGGTTTCCAGATATGATCTCTATGTTTCTTTTCATAGAGACATAACTTAGGAATGTTACCAGTATAAATGCACATGGTAGGCTGTGGAATTGAATTCTGAGTAAGACACAAAGTGAAGGGAGGGGTAGTGCAGAATTTTTAAGTTTGCAACCCGGATTTGTTTTCTCTCAATCGATTTATGACTTTTGAACAGCGGTATACTACTGTTGCCTTTATTTGTCCTGTTGATAACCCAAAAGTAGGCAGTAACACCTGAATGTGCTAGTTTGTGACCGCGGCATAAAAAAACACAATCTAGAAATACGAAAATACCTAAAATAAACTAACAGTAGTGTGTAATATCCTAAATACATACTAAATAGTCCATCGGACTCGGACTTCTTTTGAACTGAGTTTTACTGTGCGTATTGTTGTGTGTTTGTTTTTTCTATATTAGCTAGAGGTATTGGGGGAGGGTTGAGATCTGAAAAAGCAGGTTTAACCCCGCCGCATTTTGCGCCTGTCCAAAGTCAGGAGTCTCTGGCCTTTGTTAGTCTTGTATGATTTTTAATTTTAGTTTCTTGTGTATATTTCGGTGTTTAGTATGACGTCCATTATCACTGAACTAGTATACATTTTTGTTAAGGGGCCAGCTGAAGCACGCCTCCGGGTGCGGGAGTTTCTCGCTGCATTGAAGACACATTGGTGGCCTTCGGCTGTTGTCTGCTCTTTGGTCGGGTTGTTGTCTCTTTGAAACATTCTCCATTTCCATTCTCAATTTCATATTCACAGAAATAGCAGACCTTTTTAAAGCAAATCTGAGACCACAAGGGGCAAAAAAAAAGCACAGAGAAAAATGAGAAAAATGCCTACCCCTTTGTCATTAAACAGGTAATGTTACCTGTAAATTATTATGATTTTATTATTATAAAGGTCTTTAGTAAAGAAAATAATTTCTGTGCTTAGAAAGTGTGCAAACAAATAAACAAATGTAAGCAGTCAAATTATAAAACTTTTAGTGAATGCATACATCAGACTGGTAACTTCATACATACAACTTTTGTAAATATGGCTTTGTTTAAACACGTTGTGTTCACATATAAGCTAAATTAGGTTAGATATGTGGTTAAAGACGATATTGTTGTCACAAGATTTCCAAACTGACAATTTGATGCAGAAATAGTTAACTTGTAATGATAAATAGGCATACAGTAAGATGTTGCCAGGAGACAGATACAGAATTGGATAATTTATATAATCTTGAATGTTGGAATGATTAACTACTAAACTTTACATTTAAAGTATTCTAAAATCCTTTCAATTTTTTATCAGAATAGTTTCAAACAGGTTTTATACATTTCATATAAGAAAATATGAACATAGGGTAAGCTGACAATAAAGTCTTGTTTTCAAATTCTTTAATAATGGAAACAGGGATGGGGGTATAAAATGTACTGTAAAAGAAAAGAGTATATACAGGGATTTCTTTTACTCTGATTCTGATTAATAAGTATTGTTGTGAGATAAAGCATTTTTACAAGGAATTCTGCTTCTATCGATTAAACAAAAAATGAAGATTGTACAAATGACCCCTACACATAGCAAATTAAATAATTGCAAGCTATTTTATTCAGGAGAAGACTACTGTTAAAATATTACCATTACATCTAGAATTCAAACAGAGTTTTTTTTCTCAATTTCCAAATAATTATTCGATGAATTGAAGACTACATATTTTGTTACTTTTATTGATTTGCTTTGAATAAGTAAAACAAAACAGCTGTACCATAAAAATAAATCAATTATTTACAAGACATTTTATTGTCAAAAGGGTTGGCTCTCTGTTAATACAGTATTATCCTTAAATTCAATCGATATTTCGACGTTCTAGTTTTTATATATATTTACAGAATTCATATATATATATATATATATATACAAGAAGATGTGGTAGGAATGCCAATGAGACAACTCTCAATCCAAGTCACCATTTGTAAATGGTAAACCATTATAGATCCAAGTACGGCTTTCAACACCGAGTGTTGGCTCAGACACATCGAACAGCATGCTATAGAGAGCCCCATTAATGACTAGTGGAAAACCATTCAAAGATGTTTTGATGATTTTTATTCAGTGCGTTTTGAAAATAATATTTGAAGAGAAGAATCTAGAGGCTGTAAATAATTGTTATTGTACTGTTTTTAGCATGCGCAAATAAGTTTTTGAATGAACAAAAAAAAAGTTAGAAACAAACAACACACCACAACGTACGGTAATGAAGCAACATTGGTTAAAATACAGAAAATGTCTACGAACGCACCACAACTTTGCATAGTGACAACTCAATTGATATATATTTATAAAACTATCGAAAGTTACTGAAATAAAACTAACATTCTCTTCATGGTTCTCAATAGTTGTTGTTTCATTTACATAATCAGATGAAAGTGCGTGTTTGAAAATTAATATTTTTCTACAATTTTCAGTTAACCTTTTCGGAGTCGTCTTCCAGACTTAATAATAACTAAAAACTTCTATACTTATTATAGTTCTGTTGTATTTCATTACTGATCCAAGCAGATAAAATAGTTTGAACATATATGTGTATCACAAGACGGAGCCACAAAGGTTCGTTAAAATATGACAAATTCGTAAACAATAATCTTAGACGATGTAATTGTAACACTTTATTGCACTTTAACTTCAGTTGCAACGTTTTCAGGGTAAAGACGTCCATTACTGTTTTTTTCCCGAAGTCATCTCATAGGTGAAACGTGTGGTGCGATTGAAAAATCAACATATTAAACTATGAAAATTTACATCAAAGCAAAAAACTACTTGCCTTTTGTGCTAAATACACCCATGTATATTTGATATCATTAATAATGAATCTACAAAAACCAATTTTTGTTATGTATTTCAAATAAAAGTTCATCTTAATTCTTAACACCTCCTGACGGTCACTTATACACTGACCGACCTCAACATAGACTTTTCTAAAAAAATATTTCTACTCTAAAGGAAAGATGATACATATTATCTACTGTTTCATATAAACAAAGTTCCTCAATTTTTTTATGATTTGGAAATTGATTCTATTCTGTAACATAGAAAAAATGTTCTGAATTTTTCTTTAGACCTCGACACCAATAGCACTGTTCGAGAAATGTTTCAAATAACTTTAAAAGGATAAACTAATGTAAAAAATAATGAATCTCTTTTTGTGAGACAATTCTTTGAATCTTTTGATAAAATGGAGTAATAAGTGCTCGTGGACCAATATTTTTATTTGTTTTTTTTTTAAGGATGTTCGCTACTCTGTTTCAAAATAACAAGCTTTTTGAAAGACTGTCATAAATTGATAGTTTATTAATGAAGGAACTAAAAAAGCAGAAAAAAATGAAGGGTCCGTGTGCTTGTTTTCGAGATATAAGCCATTGAAAATTTGGCGGGAAATGATTCTCTCTAGATTTTTCATTCATTTAACATTGGAACCCTTTTTCTTTCAAAAACATTGAAAAAATAACAAGGATTTTATAAGATTTTCAAATATGGCTTTTTAAACTATATATAATAAAATTATGAAAAGAAAAGTAGGGGTTAGTGGACAAAATTTCTTAATGGAAAAACATAGATAAAACAAGAGGATTCCGAATATCTGACAAAAAATCAAAAACAAGAGGAGCGAACATCCTTAAATACGATATGTTAACTTGTGTTTGCTGGGACATGTGTATCTTGAATTATCATGTTCTTTATTTCAATCGATGTTTTAAATGCTGTCCTAAAAATGTAGGTGATGATACAGTTTGATTCTCACTGATTTTCAACTTCGTACATTATGTGGCCACGTTTTGTAGTTTGATTCGAGCGTCACGTATGGGTCTTCCGTGGTATCTGAGATCACCAGTTCTTATAGGTGTTGGTGTTGCTCAGTCTTTAGTTTTTTATATTGTGTTTTGTGTACTGTTGTTTGTTTTTGTCTTTTTTAGTCAGGACGTCAGTTTATTGTCGACTTATGAGCTTTAATGTCCAATTAGTATCTTTCATCTCTCTTTCATAAACAAAAGTTGAAAAATAACCTACAAAAAGACAAAATTACCAGCCGCAGCATGGTGTTATAAAAATAAATTTACAATCAAAGTTTTTGTCAACTTACCATTACTGGAAAATAGCGCAGCAAAAAGTAATAGTACCATAATCATCTTATAGTAAAAAGGCCTCCAAACCTTACCCCAAATTACAATCGCTGAAATAAATAATAATAGTCTTCCTTAATTAAAAAACGGACAGCAGTATCTTTGGGTTTTTCGTCTTATTATTATTATGAGAATGTTGATGGACTATTAGTTCCCGGGGGTATTATCAGCTTATTCGTCAGTAATTCAGTACTGACATGATTTATGTCAAACCTTCTTACGACCTATATTTGTAAACCTCTATTGCATATGATCTCTGCTGTGGAGTTGTCTCATTGACAGTCATACCACACCTCGTTTTTTAAATCTATAATTTCTAACATTGTCCGTTTTAAAATATATAAATCATAAAGAAACTAATGTTTGAACTCCCCAAGCCAAGGTTAACCTTACATAGAGTTTATAATTGATTTTTGGTCTGTTTTGGATGTATTTCGTATTTTCGCTCTTTAACTGTTTCAGTTGTTATACATCCTTTGCATTAAAATATCGGCTTTACGCGTACCTGATGAAGATAAATCCAGAAAAGCGCTTTAGACATGTTATAAAGTGTTGTTTTCAATTTTGCTAACAGGCTACAAAACATAATTATTTGTATGTACTTGATTTGATCATTCTATTACAAAATGCATGAAACATAAACATAACCTGCTGTATTTACACAAACAAATATAACAAAACTTTTAAAAAATTTACCAGGAATGATTGGTTGGGAATGATTTTTTTTTTACTTTCTTTACATAGAAATACGTATGAAATATAATTTGTGCTTTTCATGTTAAGTTTAAATTTATCATATGTATCCACTCAGTGAAATGATGATATTACCTAGCAGCATAAGTGGACAAACTACAAAACCTGGGACCACGACCATATTGAAATCATACTTGTTAAAACTTCTTTCAATTACTTCATCTGAAACAAACAATTTTGTATTTCGTAATTCTGATATTGTACAAAACAGAAAATAATTGTAAATAACCAAACTGTAATAAATATTGAATACTGCACGTTAAATAAGTTTGTCATTTATTTTAGACGTTCAACTTATTAAAGTCAAATGCTATAGATGAGTATTGATATAATCTAACATAATTTTATTTCAGTTTACTTGCTAAAAAATGCAGATATAATCTTTATTGGCTAAGTCATATTCAGTGATGATTTGAAAAAAAATGGGCCAAGTAGTTTCATATTTATAAATGAAAAGATACCGACGACAGAAGACAAAATATTAAAAATTCAACCGAGAAAACAATGGCCTATTTTTTTAACAAAGCAATACTCGACAATGAAATATGATATACAGCAACCAACAATAAAATCATCATATATATATAGATACCAGGATTAAAATTTTGTATTTACGCCAAACGCCCGTTTCGTCTACAAAAGACTTATCAGTGACGCTCGAATAAAAATAAGTTAAAAAGGCCATATAAAGTACGAAGTTGAAACCACTTAATTACAGGTGGATCCTTGCTTGTGCAAGGTTATACAAAATGTGGCGGGTTAAAACATGTTTTAAGTGTTTACACTTCCCTTTACATTGGATAGTGGTGTAACAGTTAAGATTATAAAACATATATTCACGCTGTAAAATAAGTTGAAAAGGCTTGATAGCAATAACGGCGCTGTTCCTTTGCTTTTTTTCTGTGCATGTACTAATTTTATGTCATAAATGGATACCCCATGTCCTTTTCCTTTTACATAACGCATGTACATTAACAATGCAGCAATATCAGTTTTGACGGGATATAAGATTAATAGTGTTATACCAGAATATACAAACAAGTATACAAGTGAAGTATATCTTACAATTTTACAATTAATTAAATAAATCAAGTACCGACATTATCATTATTCAAACTAAATACGTAACCTTTAGAATAGTTTCCTATCGTTCAACGCTTTATGTAGACCGTCGAATTAAAACAAATAATATTGTTGTTATTTGTCAGTTATGTTGTTTTCACTTTCAATTCACACAGCACAAACACAACAGAAACCACGACGCACATCGCTCATATATGTTTATATATATATTTACCGTTATTTCTTTTAATGATTTGGGAATGCAGACTGCCACTAAAATATTGATAGTTATCAAAATCAATAAAAACTATAAGTGTTATAACAGAAGTCTTTTACTAAAATTACATGCAAAGTTTTATTTAACGTTGAAATTCAATAAACTTCATAAACACAAGCTGCTGTGAGCTTTTCACATTTACAGAGTAGGATAACATGTGGGATATCACTATTCCCAATGATTTGTTGTACGGTTCTATCATCAATGTTCGTAAACTATTAATTAGTATTCTCTTATGTTATTCATAAGTTGGTGTTGTTCCCTCTTTCTTTATCGTATTTTATAGACTGTTTTTGTTGTCTTTATGTCGTTTTTCTTTATTTGTTACGACGCTGTTAATTTGTCTTCGACTAATGAGTTTCGGTGTCCCTAATGTATCTTCTTTATTTTTTAATAATTTAATGAAACTAGCCCCAGTTCCATATTCCTAGCTATAAATCAATCCTAACTGAAGTGTATTTGTGATTTTGCAACCAAATGTTGAAACACCATGTACTTCCTGTAAGAGCATTATAGAACAGGTCAGATGATAACATGGATAATGCATTAATACGATGCTAATTATCAGCATAAAATTACGTGGCAAAATTAAGCAAATCATCAAATCTATCACATGAATTGAAACCCGGATGCAAGGTAAAACATACACACATATTGATATTGATGTAAAATCAGCTTAGGGTTAGATAATAACTGAAGACTGCTTAATGTATTATCCTTCATGAATTTAAATTCGTTTTTATGTATATTATAGTATTTCATATAAAGTATTGATGTACAACTGTACGACGATGTTTCATTAAGAATACACTGAGAGGTGTTATGGAAAAAAAAAGGATCGCTGATATTGAAAAAAGCTGTTTGTCATCACAGCTAAATGATAACATTTTCCTTTGCCAATCTTTACTGTAGGTATTGTGTCTTTATTTAAATTTGTTATTGAATAATCGTATATTCATATTTGTTTCAATGAGTTAGCATGTTAATTGTCCTGTTCGCTTTATTTTACAACTTTGTCAACTCACGAACAAAACATTCATTGATATGAATGTCACAGTTAATATCATGTTATGCAAACAAATATCTATACCTTTTCTTCTCTAAAGTAGGACATTTCGAGTCATTACTATGTTCTCCTCTAACACATTTATAATCTGCCAAAAAATAATAGAGAAAGAATTAATTCATAATTCAATAATTACATTAGATGTATGTTTCATTAAAATACGTTATTCTGATTGGCTACACTGCAATCTCGCGTTATTCATGTTATTCCTTAATCAACTTCATTACACAATAAAATTTATCATTCATGATGACACGAGGTCCCACAATAAAGTGCACAGGTAAATTAAATAAAAACTTGATAAAAATTGTGTTTTCATGATCCTAGCTAAAAAATGTAATTATAAGTATTGAATGCTTCTTTTTGTAACTTCATAGGGTTGTAAAAGCGTTGACCGTGCGCACATTTTAAGAATGAAGCGCTTCCGCGCTTCATACAAAATGTACTTCGGTAAACGCTTTTACACCCCAATGAAGTTACAAAAAGAAGCATTCAATTCTTAAATAAACAATCGTTATTCTAGAATTCTGTCTCTTTCTTTATATTATTCAATAAAATTGAGAATGGAAATGGGGAATGTGTCAAGGAGACAACAACCCGACCATAGAACAGACAACAGCAGAAGGTCACCAACAGGTCTTCAATGCAGCGACAAATCCCCGCACCCGGAGGCGTCCTTCAGCTGGCCCCTAAACAAATATATATACTAGTCAGTGATAATGAACGCCATACTAAACTCCAAATTGTACACAAGAAACTAAAATTAAAAATAATACAAGACTAACAGGCTAGAGGCTCCTGACTTGGGACAGGCGCAAAAATGCGGCGGGGTTAAACATGTTTATGAGATCTCAACCCTCCCCCTATACCTCTAGCCAATGTAGAAAAGTAAACGCATAACAATACGCACATTAAAATTCAGTTCAAGAGAAGTCCGAGTCTGATGTCAGAAGATGTAACCAAAGAAAATAAACAAAATGACAATAATACATAAAAAACAACAGACTACTAGCAGTTAACTGACATGCAAGCTCCAGACTTCAATTAAACTGATTGAAAGATTATGTCTTCATCATATGAATATCAGGCACAATCCTTCCCGTTAGGGGTTTAGTATCATACCATCATAACATATATGAGAAGAACATAACCCGTGTCATGCCAACAACTGGTTTTTAAATAAATGTGTTTAGTGCCGATGCAAAGACCCTATAAGTGAATCAATATAAACGCCAAAATATGCAATCTTTAATGACCTGACAACATTATCGTAACTATATCCCTTCTTAATAAGTCTATTTAAAGGTTTTGTTAGCTTCAGAGGTGAATACTGACATTTTTGTGCTTTATAAAGAATATTTCCATAAAAAATTGGATGTGAAATACCTGAACGTATAAGAAGTCTGCATGTTGAGCTATATTTACGAATGATGTCCTTATACCGATGATAAAATTTAGTAAATGTTTTGACTAGTTTGTGATATCGAAAACTCTGGTGTAATAATTTTTCAGTAATACATAAATTTCTCTCGTTAAAATCTAAAACATTGTTACATACACGAGCGAATCGTACAAGTTGAGATATATAAACACCGTAAGATGGTGACAAGGGAACGTCACCATCTAAAAATGAATAGGAAATGAAAAATCATCTCTTTTATCATATATTTTAGTATTAAGCTTTCCGTTAATGATATAGATATCAAGATCGAGGAAAGGGCAGTGGTCATTGTTAGTATTAGCTTTATTTAAAGTAAGTTCAACATGATAAATTACATTGATATTTCTTTTGACATTTGAAACATCTTAACCATCTCTTGTTTACTTCTTGATTCTCTGCTATACCCTCCGATTGACAATGATGTCATAACTAAAACTTTCGAAAAAACAGTTGAAAGAATTTTATCACGAATCTAAGATCCAGTTAGTGTATTTTGAATGTGACAAAATTCCATATGAAGTATGTTTATTCTTATAAACGATAGAAATGGCCTCCACATTGAAACAAATATTTAGGTTATCATTTATCAGTATGCTTTATATATGTAAATCATATATACCTGACGATAAAATAGAGCCAATAGCACATTTACTTATGTAACATGAACAATCTTCAGCTGATGGTATGCAAAAGCAATTTTGTTTCGGTTGTTGAATAAATTTATAGCCATTTGTGTAATCACAGCGGCAAGCTCCATCTGAAATAAGGGTACCATTATCAAAGACAACTTGGCCCTCTCCTTCACACAGCGTCTTTCGAAACAGGCAAACTCCACTAACGTTAGACCATAATGGGAAAGGCTGATATCGTTCTGACGAACAGTCGACATTTCTAAGACGTCCAGTTATTACATACTTCTCGCCTTAAACAAAATTACATTTCAAGTTATATTATTACAATTAAGTTGGAGTAATTTAAAATCTACTGTATAGGGAAAGTTATTATGTATTATAACCAACCGTTTACATAACAAAGGTAACCTGAATTTATCTTAACAAGAAGTTAATATTAGGATCGTCCTGGTTTTTTGAAAATGGTCTGTTGACATCTTTTAGTTTTTTTTATTGTGTTTGGTTAATTGTTCTTTCTTATGTCAGCTTGCTTGTACATAGCTTGCAACAAGACTTTTTACCAGCATTTAAATCTATATGCATGTTCTATTAGGACTCTACACCATCGCATCATTGTTGAAAATGTCCAAATCTGTGAGTATCGATTTGCCGCAATGATAAACTTTTAGTTGTTACAAATTTGCAGTTAATTTCATCTAAATTCATATAAATAAAAATGTTATTGTTATTCTTTACCATTGATAACAGTTTGAATATGATACTGAATATTTTGAGTTGTTCAAGAGTTATCATGGAAGCTTTAAACAAATTCTACTATAGAAATGTCTTTTGTATATTTGTATTGAGCAATTGGTCACACACATTGGAAGACAATTTTTCTACTGACAGTAATCAATTTTAACAGTGAAGTATAATTAAAATTGATATAACAAAAATACAGAACTATCATATTCCTTATTTTTTTTATTGTACTTTTTGGACAGGCATATATGGTGGATTAAACCTGTTTTTATAGCTACCTTATAAGGACTTATTTCATGTGGTCTAAAGGAAATGTAACGCCTGCTTGATACGGCTATTATCTTTGAAATGATTAAGTTTTTCTACTTTGTGGTTTCCATTAGTCTATGATTGAATATATATGATATAATTGTACGGCAAACAATTTTAGAAACTGGAAATATAATACAACATGTCATATGTATGGATAAACAAGCATGTATTTATGAAAAGATCAATTTATTAAATCATCGTTTTTCAAACACATACAAATTTGTATAAATATCTATAGACTTACCACGCGTTACATAATCTGGATTCTTGTTACACTGTTCAGAAAACCATAACCTATTTGTATCATAGAGACACGTGTATTCTGATCTAAAACTGTTTGCGCAATATGCTGATGCTCTTAACGGTCTCTGAGATACTTCCGGACATTGTAAATAGTAAGAACAAGCAGTAGGCGACACCAGAGAGATCTGAAATATAATTAAGTATAGATTCTGTCTGAAGCTATTGTTTAGAAATCACAATTCATAGCGAATACCACATAATACTGTTATGTTTGCCGAATGAATGAAGATAATAGTTCTAAATTCACATTACATTTTGTAGTTGACACAAATATTAGTGTAATGAAGTATAATATAAACTTTAGAATATTAAATGGGATCTTATGCTAAATGTGTCGCTAATGATGATGCATGTTTTATTCAGATAATTGTTTTTATCGATCCGATATTGACTCTTATATTGAACGTATAGTGAATTTTTCATCCAAAAGATCACCAATCACTATGATGACGCCAATATGCATATTTTGTAAATAATGTAGAATTTACTACATAAAAAAATCAAATTATGATCTCAGGCAATATCTATCAAAACCGCTTCCACCGTAATATGCCTTTTCAAGTTTATATTCTTCATAAATAGTTATCAAAGGTACCAGGCTTAAAATTTGATACGCCAGACGTGTGTTTCGTCTACTTAAGACTCATCAGTGACGCTCAGATCAAAATAGTTAGAAAACCAAACAAGTATAAAATTGAAGAGCATTGAGGACCAAAATTCCAAAAAGTTGTGCCAAATACGGCTACGGTAATCTATACCTGGGATAAGAAAATCCTTATTATTTCGAATAATTAATACTTTTGCAAACAGTTAATTTATAAAAATGACCATATAATTGATATTCATGTCAACACCGAAGTGCTGACTACTGGGCTGGTGAAACCTCGGGGACGAAACGTCCACCAGCAGAGGCATCGACCCAGTGGTGTAAATAGTTATCAAAGGTAACATAAACCGTAACGTCAATATAAAAATAAGATGTTACTCGGTTATTAATGTAATAATTATCATATAAAAGGCTAGGATGTCAAAACAAGTTTGCGTAAAGGCTTCTTAAATTAACAAAAAAAAAAATCACCATGGAGTTAGTAATAAACGACTAAGAAATTATATGACAACCGCCATCCGACGACAACATAGGACTAAAACGTAAAAAATTAAACATGTTGATTCCTTTCTTTGGAAAAGGCATACCTTCACGCATAATAACAAACCGTGGTAATTAGTTGTCAAGGACATGACTCATGAGTGCGGTACAAAGAAAAAACTTTAAAAATATATTTTTTCCATGATTGAAATATCAATTTCTAAATGTCAAAAAGATTTAATAGAAATACTTCATTGGCATATTGAAGGTGCAATATGGAAGCAAGATCAGCTTAACATTCCGGCTCACCTGATATTACCACAAGTATTTGATGGGGTTTGTGTTTATCAGGTTGTAACTATATATGTTATGCTTTTTTCTTTTTTTTTCTTGCCATGGCATTTTTAGTTTTTTACGACCTATGGTTTTAAAAAAGAAGATGTGGTATGATTGCCGATGAGACAACTCTCCACAAAAGACCAAATGACACAGAAATTAATAACTATAGGTCACCGTACGGCCTTCAACAACGAGCGAAGCTATAAAAGGCCCAGAAATGACAAATGTAAAACAATTCAAACGAGAAAACTAACAGCCTAATTTATGTACAAAAAGTAAACGAAAAATCAAATATGTAACACCTCAACAAACGAAAACCACTGAATTACATGCTCCTGACTTGGGACAGACACATACATACAGAATGTGGCGGGGTTAAACATGTTAGCGGGATCCCAACCCTCTCCTAACCTGGGACAGTGGTGTAACAGTACAACATAAAAACGAACTATAAAAATCAGTTGAAAAAGGCTTAACTCATCATGATCAGATGGATACAAATAGAAATACATCTAATAAAACACAGAGTGGACGTGGCCACGTACTTGTATATCACAACAACAAAAAGACACTAAGTACTGATCTGAGAGTACATGCAGTTACTGACAGCTAGTTCAAAGCAAATAAAAACTTATAAAAAAAAATCATGCATCTAAGACTATGAGTTTGACTGTCCCTTTCTGTCGCTTTGAGTTCTTTGATAAAAGCCCGACTATATATGTGCCATTTCAAATGATATTTTATAGTGTGTCTTGCTATATATATATATATGTTGTGATGTTACACTTTTGTTTTAGGTTAGGTAAAGTTTGGCGCCTTTTAAAACGTTAAAACCCGCTGCATTTGTTTGCACCTGTCTTTTGTCAAGAACCAGATGTTCAGTCGTTGTTGTTTGTTAATGTTGTTCATACAAGTAAGTGTTTCTCGTTTTTCGATTTTTATATAGCTTAGACCGTTCGTTGTCCTGTTCGAATGGTTTTATCACTTTGTTGATTTCACTTGACTGAGTGGGGTTTAACCGGTTCGATTATCATAGACCAGTTCATCGACAGGTGTTTTGGGATAAACTCACCAATGAAGTGTTCAGTCATTCTATTGTAAATTCGTTTCAAGACACTGATAGGTGATTATAAAATAACATGAGCAACACGACGGGTGCCACATGTGGAGCAGGATCTGCTTACACTTCCGGAGAACCTGAGATCACCCCAGTTTTTGGTGGGGTTCGTGTTGCTTAGTCTTTAGTTTTCTATGTTGTGTCTTGTGTACTATTAATTGTGTGTTTGTCTTTTTCTTTTTTAGCCATGGCGTTGTCAGTTTATTTTCGACCCAATGAGTTTGACCTCTTCAATAATAATTATAACGGCTATTATCCTTATCACACACATTTTCAAATAGACTGTCCTTATACAAACTAAAACGTAAGCTCCGCTCGATCAGTTGAAATGACTTTGGTTATACACTAGTCATTTTGGGGCCCCTTATAGCTTGCGGTTTGATGTGAGCAAGGCTCCGTGTTGAAGGCCGTACTTTGACCTATAATGGTTCACTTTTACAAATAGTGAGTTGGATGGAGAGTTGTCTCATTGGCACTCATACCACATCTTGTTTTATCGAATTACCAGATAAATATCAGAATGAAGGATCATGGAAGTTTATTTCTGGGCTTAAATACATGTGCAGTTATATATTAATCTTTGTAAAACAAATTCAAGGTTGGTACCAATAAAGACAATATATGTGTAGGATGTTCACACTAATATAACGATGTCCTAAAATTTTGTAAACCAGATTGTTACATGTGTAATGAACTTTATACTCACCAAAAAACTATGAAGTACAAACATTGTGAGCGTCGACAGTACCACTTGTACCAACAACACAACATATTATTTCTTCTTTAATTTGCATCTACAGATACATGTATTATACAGACAAATCGTTTGTTTTTATTTCTATTTATAATAAGATATTATTCGAACAGCGGTATACTACTGTTGTCTTTACTATACTATAATTAAAAAAGACTTGAAAGTACTAAAGTATTCTTCGCCATTTCATTGTTAAATAAAATATGAAATACAGAACAAAAAAGTATTTCAGTAAATTGATTTATATTGATTATTATTGTTTTGATGATACTGTTGTTTTTGTTATATATCATAACCAAGTATAAAGGAAATACGGAACTCTAACTGAAACCGTGATTTTATTGTTAATTCCGTTTTAAATTTAAGTTCAAATGACATGGGTATAAGCAATAATAGGTCAGACTTTATAATCGTGTATGTACATTTTGTTAGTTTACAAAACAAGGAAGTTTATATATATTTAAAAACCGGTTTACTATTCTTAACAATGTAAAACAAATGCCCAGCAACGTTTTAATGGTAGAAATATTTATAAAGAATGACACATTATTTAAATCCCAGTTTTATAAACCCACACATATGTAAATGTACCAGGAAGTTTATTTACCATCATAATTATACATTATAAATATTACAAACTGATTTCTTTGTAGTGTTTTGTAGTCTATTATCTTCGCCCTTCAATTTTTGGCCATCGTGTTGTATTTTTTCTTCAACTTATGAATGTTTAATAATTAAATAAGTAACTATCGACTTAATTATTTTATTTTTGATTTAGTTGGTTACTAGGGTAACTACGGACATCAATATCCTGTCTATTTTGCAGATAAATTAAAGTTGCATTATTCAAACCAGTTAGGATTGTATTGTCCATTTCCTTTGATAGCTTCACTTTCAAACAAAAACACTGTAAAATATATAGATCTACATATATAACATGTCACACCAAATAAAGAATTTCTAGACCTTCATTTAATGACATGTCACTTTTAAAAATTTTCTAAATATAACAACTATGAGATGTTTTCATTTATGCAAATAATCATTATAAACATATATTTAAGATCGCAGTTGTCCAATACAAGTTTAGTTTTAATACTTACATATTTTCTTTTAAATCTACTGTCAACATTTTCACGCTTATCATATGTCATGCTTGATTTCCTGTGCATAAGAGTGTTATATTGGTATTGTTATTATAAACGGAAACGTATCGATACAGGAGCCTATTGATGACAGGTAAAATCTTGTAAAGGGTGATTTAAAGGGGTCATGGGAATGCTTAGCAACCTTATCTACTTTAGGTTTTATATTAAAAGTAAAATCACAAAATACTGAACTCCGAGAAAAATTAAAAACAGAAAATCCCTAATCAAATGGCAACATCAAAAGCTCAAACACATCAAACGAATGGACAACAACTGTCATATTTCTGACAGGTACAGGCATTTTCCTAAGTAGATTTATATACAGATAAAAACTTTTCTTTATACATTATAATACTGGTTAAATCATTGACATTTCAGAAAAATAGTTTTGTCATCTTACTTGTAATTGGTTACAAAACGAAACGAACAAGGAAATCAGGAGAAGTAGAACTTTATGCCGAAACAGAAGAGTTATGTTTCTCCTTGTATTTCATGATGGTATGATACTTAACCCCTAATGGGAGGGTATGTGCTTGATTTTAACATGATCAAGACATAATCTTTAAATCAGTTTAATGAGGTCTTGAGCTGACATGTCAGTAACGGCTAGTATTCCTTTGTAAATTTATGTATCATTGTCATTTTGCTTAGTTTCTTTTGTTACCTTTTTTACATTGGTCTCAAACTTCTTTTGAACTGAATTTCACTGTGCGTATTGCTGTGTGTATGTTTTTTTCTACATTGGGTAGAGGAACAGAGGAGGGTTGAGATCTCATTAAACATGTTTAACCACTCCGCATGTTTGTGCTGTCCAAAGTCAGTAGCCTCTGGACTTTGTTAGGATTGTATGATTTTTAATTTTAGTTCATTTATATGTTTAAGATTTTAGTATGACGTCCATTTTCACTACACAAGTACACATGTTTGTTAAGGGCCCAGATAAAGCACGCCTCCGGTTGCGGGACTTCCTCGCGGTGTTGAAGACCCATTGTTGCCTTCGGGTGTTTTTTGTTTTTTGGTCGGGTTGTTGTCTCTTTGACACATTATCCATTTCCATTCTCAATTTTAAATGTTAATCTTTTCATAATCAGAAACATAACGGTTCTACCATATACAAGAAATATAATACTTTTTCGGGATATATTTGACGTCGACGACAAGAAAGCCAGCATAGATAATATCATATAACTTTTGCAATTACCTTATACATATCTAAACTATATTTAACTTGAATTCACCGATTGTATATTCAACAGTTAAACGGTTTTTCATGATTAATTTCTTTTTAATCATGTTGTTCGTGTTATAAATGATCTTATTTACTATTCGTGGCCTCAAACGCAAATAAAGTATTGATGAACAAAAACTCATATTCATGGGAAACAGCTCGCCTAGTCGAGTGCAGCAAAGTTTTATTTTTCTGATAATACAACTGTCCTCAATCACTTTGCCTGCACACTAAGACCGCTGCAGCATACTTGTCTTTACAATGAAAAATAATGAAAGAAAATCTTTCATATCACAAAACAATATTTACATAATGTTCTTTTAAGATCTGCAGACAAAAACGTAATGAGTTTACAATAATTATAAATTAATACAAAAAAATTTCATAAAGGAGGGGGGGGGGGGGGGGGGGGGGGTGGGGACTTTACTGCACTAAGACTGAGCTTCGAACGGTCAAACTATGAAAATGTATTTTCAATGTTAACTTTTACCGCGAAGGACCAGTCCATGATATCATATAAAGAAACTTTAAACCCCTAACTCTGTTATGATAACTTATTGTTATGCAAAAATAATTTAAATATTATTGTAAACATGAACGCATGTTCTCAATATCACAACAAACCCATGAGCTATCGATAGTTAATAAATACATACATATGATATTAAAATAAATACATTAATAGATATCAGTGTGAACCGTTGTAATATGAAATATGAAAGCAGCTGATCATAATCATAATAATTACATTTCTATTTTATCTCGCTAGAGTGTGACAGTCAAATGTTTTATGTTTTTTTGTATCTTTACAAAGTCTCTGACAGAAGAGCAAAGTGAAATACACCAATTTGTTTATCAGATCTGAAACTAAATCTTCGTTTTGCAAAGTACGGTGGATGTGAAGAGAATTTCACGCATTTTATAACATGCCAGGTATCCTATATTTTCATAGAATGGGTTTAAGACTCACAGACGTATGTGTTTCGTCTATGAGATTACAAAACATATACTGAATTATTAACCTGGTATCTTTGTGGAATTGTTAATGAGTGGCAAACATTTTCTGTTTTTAATGGTTTTGTCTTAATGTTGATGTGTTTCCCTCGTTTTTAGTTTGTAACCCGGATATGGTTTTCAATCAATTTATGACTTATGAACAGCGGTTAACTACTGATAACTTTACTTGACGTAACACTTTAAATGATAAAAGGTGAAAAACGGATGTCCTAAAATTAGTGTTGTTAAATTGAACTGTTTTATCTAAGCGGTTACTTGGAAATCGTTCGACCGATCAACCTGTTAACCGGTAGATAAGTTGATAAGTTGATTTTTTTACTCATCTTCAGTACTAAACAAATGCACGGGCATTACAAGGCTTGGCTTTGGACAGTCATATAGAAGTTTAATTTTTATTAATCCAATACTACCATATTTACTATGGTGTTTGTAATAACTTCAGATTAGGATGATGATAATCTTCTTGATCTCGGAGAATTGACGAAGTCTGAAACCGGTGTTTGTTTCCTTATCTCTGGTGCTCTGTGGAGTCTTTCAGCTTGAGATGATTAATCGTGTAACTTGAATCACACAGTATTGTATATTAATTCCCTGTACATAGTTTGCTTTATACCATTTGTTTCTGAACGGTCGGTTTTCTTTTAAAATATCAACCTAGACGATACCAATTTTCAATAAAGTTTGCTTCAAAGCATACAATAATTATCTATGTAAGGTAATGTGTTTACCGTGATTAAAATCGAAACTACAATTGATTTCGACATTCAATTTACTTGAAAGTTATCGTGTGTTGTTGTCAATTAGGATTTTGCTCCGGTAATTAGACTGAAATACCAAAAATCGTCGTTGACACACATTTAAACTTTCAAAACAAATAATTTAAAATTTTAATAATTTATCAGTACACTACACGGACATTATGTGAGAGGAATGTTTAAGTGCAAAACTTTTCATAACACTTTAAAACAAGCTTAATTTTAACATATCAGTCTGTATGACTTTTAAAATATCATCGGTTCACATTGTATTGGAAATTATACTATGACCTATATATTTCGTCTTTTGTTTACATCGATACGGTCTGTCTATCATTTGGTCAATCCTGACATCCTAGAAAACTTTAGAATATGCTTTATCCATACCTCACTACCGATGCAGATTTCTGATAATGGTTGATACAATTTGACGCGTTGAATGTTTACCCAGAGTCGAAAAATATTGCATTTATTTCTTTCTTTTTTTCTGAATAATTCTGAAAGATTTTTTATTCAAAATAGGTAAACTTATATATAAAAAGGAATATAATAATGTCCCTTTGGTATTAATTGCCTCTATTATCAATAATTCTTGTAATGTCCATTTTGGTATTCCCTGCCCCTTTTGTGTCAGTAAAAGAATACAATCAAAGACCATATATATCCGTAAACGTAATTAACTTTAAAAAGTATCATTTACATTCTTGATTGGTACTTTGGTGAAATACATATTTAACTATAATTAAACATATTTCTTTCCACATTATATTAAATTCCATGAAAGTTTGACAAGGTTATTAGTGTCTATTAAAGGCAACAGTAATATACTGTTGTGCAAAAGTCATAAATCGATTGAGAGAAAAAAAATCCGGGTTTAAAACTAAAACCGAGGGAAACACATCATTTTTAAGAGGAAAACAACGAAACAACAGAACACTGCAGTGCAACAAAAAGCAAACAACAATGTAACATACATGGAAACGCACTGTTCCATAACAAATGCCATATTCCTGACTTAATACAGAAAAAAAAATGGTGGGTGTAACCTAGTTTTGTGGCTAGCCAATCTTCCGCGCTTTATGGCAATGTTAAATATACCGCTAAAATGACAAAAGTACGTGACAGAAACACAGTACAAAAGATGTCAAACTACAGTCATAAGCTTTGACGCCACGGACGCTGACGCCGAAATCTATGATCTCGCTTCGACAAAATAATTGTCGCAGGCTGGACATAAAATGGGATATTCAAACACTATTCTTTCAGAAAAAGGATATTTTAATGCAAACAATCTAACATATAGCAATATCTACCACTAGCCTGACCCGAATGTCAGTGGTATCGTTGTTTCGTTAGGAATACCACAGTAAGAGGATGATTAAAAATTTATTTTTAGAATTTGCTTTGCTTTTCTTCTCTGTTTTTAAAATTTTCTGATTTTGTTGTCATGAGTAGACCTATTGTCAGTGGTTTTGTATCTGTAGTTTGAAAACAATCATTTCCATTTAGTAGATCAGCAATCCTGCTCGCAGAACTTCCTGGAGATATTTCCACCATTTTTTGAGTGGACTCACCCTCCAAACGATGATAACCATGCACATCGACCTCTATCATTTGCTGATAGGGATTTAGATAGTCGTCATTGGGAGAATCTACTACATCTCCCTCAGAATATGAGCTACTACTTACATCTTGGTCGACTGTTAAATAAATGTCATCTTGATTAACATGTTCATCTCTGATAATGCTGCGAATAAACGTGTCATTGCAAATCATATTATCTTCATTAATTGATTCATAAGTACTACTTTCATCGTTAAATTGAACATTTGTTTGATCGGAAGGTACTTGTTCATGATGTGTTCCTGGTGATTTTGATTTGTTTAAATGTTCAGCTTTCCTTTTGTATTTGAAACAACATGATCCTAGAGCAACCATTACTACAATGCTTCCTGCACTTATTGAATAAATAATAAGTTCTCTTTTCAGAAATATCCCATCTGTAAAGAAAAAAGTAACGTACAGTGAAGGAAAAAGCAGAGGATTGAATTTGTTCAGGGAGCAATAATAGTTTTCTTGTTACCCACTAAATCAAATATTTCATATTAAAGTCATTGTTTTGTCATTTGTTTTTCGTTAATATTTACAAACAACGATTTGTTCATCGGCGTCACTTAAGGCAATAGCAGGTCTAGGAAACGCTCTATTCTGACCTCTTTGTACGAAAGACGAAGACAATGAGTTCATTAAATGGGTCAAAACCCCAACAGCTAGGTTGTACAGAAGGATATTTGTCTACAGTTAACATATAAGTTTAGTGAAAAATAAAATGTAAAAAAATAAAAAAAAGCAAATTTAAAAAACTGGTATCTTCTGAAAATTTTATTTACAATGGCTTAGTTCCATGGTTTAGAATGATGAGAGGAAAATTCTCAATGGATTTTTTAATAACTAGTGTGCAAAGTTCGATGTGTCAAAACGAGTAGTTGATTTTTCAAAACAGGTACCCGCTTTTCCCTATAAATTTTTCAAAATTGCTTTGATGAACAGCCGAATGAATGGTTAACTGCAAACCGTTCAGTAAAAGAATGTTTCAATTATATTCAGGACAACAACAAATCGACAATAACTATACATGAAACACCCAGAACGTGTCCTTCATCTCAAACGTGTCTAATCCCCTAAAACCTGTCTATATGACGTTATTGTAATCCAACACAGGTCTAGCTTGTGTCGGGCGTTGAAACGTGACCTTTTCATGAACATGGCCATATTCTTAAAACGCTCAAATACGTGTGATTTGTTATAACAAATGTTATTTGAAAACAAAACGAGTTAAGGTTATTACAGCACCTTAGACCCGGTCTGAAAATACACAAGCAGAAAATATTTCATGCATTTTCAGGACGAGAACAAATTAACAACTAATACAATTTGTACGTCTTTATAATTTGGGCTACAATTAATTTTTTTGTCAAGCAATCTCTGTGACTTTTATTAGTATTTTCACTGCCTCTTAGTTCCTTGTTAAAAACAAATTTGTATGTATTTTCTAATATCCTTTCTGTGACTGTCCTCACCATCTCTTCAATTGTTACGAGGTCATCAGTTTTGATTTCATTCTTAAGCTTCTTACTCAGTAATTCACGGATAGCCTTTTTTGTTTATGTGTGGTGTTTTAACTTCAACAAAAACCCGATGTATTCAATCGAGTCTCTAACGACTGCCGTAGACATCATTGAAGTCACAGAGAACACATTAGCGCTAACAATTTTGAGACGTGTTGGTGTCTTAAAATGAACACGTTCCGGCGGATAGAAATTGTTAAACACGTTTAGTGGAGATAAACAAATTGACATGTTTAAGCGGAGGAAATAAACGGGCACGTATTGGGAAAGTGAAATTGGATCAGGTAAAGCAGCACATAAAACCACACTCAAGTAATACTCATTTCAGTCGGAAACGCTCTTGGACTAAACGACAAACGTTATAATTTCAGTTTTGATTTCCCCAAAGAGTTGTTGCAAGGGTTTGTAAAGTGCAGAAAGCTTATATTCCAAAGGACTTCGATCAATAACTTGGGTTTAACCGCCAGAGAGAAAAAGTCAAGCTTACATTTTGTTCTGCCCTAGTCGACCCTTGGGGTACTTTAAAAATGAGCATTATATATTAAGTCGAACCTAACGAACGAAATTAAATGGCATTTGCTTTGTAGAGCTACACAAACGACAAAACAGAACATTTTTGTTTATACACATATGCATTTTTAATTAATCCGTTTTCCATTCCAAAGAAAATATTTATGATATAATATGATTGTTATTCATTTAATGGATGAAATAAATAAATATACTCTTAAATAATTAATAGTTTTTATACCATTTTTATCATATGCTGATAAACTATCAACTGTTGTCATAACATGTGTAGATTCCTTTGGCTCTGTAAATGTACTGTCCCACTTTTCTGAAAATAAACCTTTGCCAGTAGTGTTGTAATCAAGACAAATTTTTATCTGGTATGATTATTAACATGTTTCATCTGATGTGTTTTGCAAACATATTTTGTAAAATGTTTGATTATTTTGGAAAGTACTTGCAAAAATCCTCATTAAGGTAAATATGCTTGTAATTGTTGACGAGCATTGTAAACCAAATGTTCCAAACCTGGCTGAGACAGGCATGGTGCGGGAGTTTCTCGCTGCATTGAAGACCCATTGGTGGCCTTCGGCTGTTGTCTGCTCTATGGTCGGGTTGTTGTCTTTTTGACACATTCCCCATTTCCATTCTCAATTTTATGGATATTCATAAGAACGGACATGTACAAAACCTACTCAGCACAAATACACTTAACACCTCCACAAATATGCACAGGTTGGTTTTCGTTGACTGTGATGTACATGAATCCGCAGTTGATTTTCTCGTTTAAATTGTTTTACATTTTGTTATGTGAGAACCTTTTATAGTTACTATATGGTATGGGTTTTACTCATTGCTGAAGAAGTACGATGATATAAAGAGCTGACACCTAAGTTATTAGTCTCTTTTTAATTTTTATCAATTTGGCAATCATACCAAATCTTCTTTTTTTATTCAACTTTGCATTCTTCTTATAATAATTTAATGAACTTACATACTCCAGTTAATATATTTATGAAATATGGTATGGTAAAATAAGTCTGTAATTCTTATAGCGGGTGATAAATAAATTTACTCTCAACTAATCAAAAGTGTATATACCCTTTTTATGAGTTGCTGAAATGCTATCAACTGTCGTCATAACATATGTTGAATCCTTTGGCTCTGTAAATGTACTGTACAACTTTTCTGAAACATTTTCGCCAATGGAGTTGTAATAAAGAACACATTTATAACAGTTTGCTAGATAATCAAAAACGAAGTTGACGAGCATTGTAAACCAAATGTTTCAAAAGCATGTACCAAACCTGGCTAAGATAGGCATGGGTATTCATCAGAAAGGACAGGACATGGAAATATACAAAAGACACTAGGCATACATAAACTCAACACCTCCACAAATATGCATAGATTTTTTCGTCTACTCTTTTGTACAGAAATCAGGTTTTCTTGTTCAATTTGTTACAATTTTTTTAATATCGGGTCCTTTTATAGCTAATAAAACAAATCAGGTTTGGGTTTTGCTCATTCATTGTTTTTAACTTATTAGTAATTTGGTCGACATTGGATAGTTGTATCATTGGCAACCATATTATTGTTTATGCACACTATCCCAAGCGAACCCCTATAACAATTGAAGGTAATTTTTATCTTCAAGGTCTTATATTCCTCATTTTAATTATACCTATACTCCTTCACTGAAAATATTAATTCTCCTGAAACAATGCAAACTTCGATCGCTTCAGTTAAAATTATTCATAACTTGTTTAGACATGAAATGGATAAACTCATATAGGGCCTTTTGTAGTTTCCTCTACAGAATAGGTTTTGCTCATTGTTGAAGGGCGTGCGGGATATATTAAAGGTTGCATTTTGGCTTCTGGGGGATAATTATTTCATTTGCAATTACTAAATGTACACCACATCTTATCTTATTAACAATTTAGACAATTGATATCCTTTCTTAACTGTTTGAGGTTGTTTTTATACTCAATGTAGAGTTACTTTTTTACTTATGTATTCCCTATATCGATTCTCTTATTCACAATAAACAGTCATTCAAATCAATGCATTTTTTCATTTTAATACGCTTATTCAGATACAAGTCATCAAATACATGAATCTCTGAAGTTGTAAGATATCTTCAACAATTTTTAAGGTAACATTTTTCCCTTCACAACTGAATAGTTTAAAGCATGTGATGTCTTTATCATGTTGTTTTAAAATAAGATTGAAATACATTAAATTGTAATTTAATTTCTGATACAAAGGAGACGTTTATCCTAAATTTCCAGACAAATTCATTTAAACCTTACAACAGTCCGGTCAATTAAATAAGAGCCAATGCTTTTTTTTTTATTTTAACAACTCATATTGATATAAATGTATTGTAAATGAATGACAAAAAATAGTATACATTTGATGCGTCAATCCAAAGCTTAACTAAATATATGTGTCTCAGGTGACCACGGATATGTTCAATTATTGTATCAACAATCCCGTCTTATTTTCTCGATTTAGACATCACCGATCCAATGAAACCTATCACCAAATTTATATTTACCATGAATAAATAAAGGCAACAGTAGTATACCGCTGTTCAAAAATCATAAATCGTAACGAGAAAACAAATCCGGGTTACAAACTTAAATCGACATAACACATCAACTATAAGAGAAAACAAAAACAACAGAAACACTGAACTGCAACAAAAACAAACGCCAACATACATAGAAACGAACTATTTGATAACAAATGCCATATTCCTGACTTTGTGCAGGACATTTTAAGACAAATGGTGAGTTGAACATGAGCAATATGACGAATTGTACAATTTGAGCAAAATCTACTTACACTTTCTGTGCACTTGAAAGTTTTTGATTTGGTTCTTTTTGCTAGTCTTCAGTTTTTTTAATTAGTGTTTCGTGGACTATTTGTTTTTTCGTCGTCTATTGGTTTTTGCCTTTGAGTCGTCAGTTTTCTCGTGTATTTATGGGTTTTGATTGTTCACCTGGTATCTTCCGCCTTTTTTGCAATGTTTTATAATATATGCTAAAAACGGTGAGATGCATTTACTTTGTAGTCGAACATTTACTTGGTAATCGAACGTAAAATGAATTTACAGTAGCCTTTAACGATAGTATCTGCGAAATTTTTTAATATGCTACTACACTTTTTTAAATGGAAACTAAAGTTATCCAGATTCATTTGGTTCACATAAAGTATGCATCATGGTACGGCATTTAGGAAACCTATTAGTTGTACTTCCGTCCTTGTAATTGAAATTGATTGTCAATCCTATTCATGTGAGGATAATGTCAATCAAATAATTAAACAAAAAATAAAAACACCAACCAATTTCCCTATCTAATTATTCATCCATTTTACGACTAATACTATTATTTAAGAACAAGTGTACGACCATATCTCTCTCTATGTCCTTGTTGTTGTTGTCCAACAATATCAAACATTAGAAATTAGGTCCTACCTGACATGACAGTTGTCACCTCAACACATCCATCCACAATATCACATCTGTAAAAGAGAGAAATTAAAGACGAAGAAGTGTAAACGGCAACGAGACAGCAACATAACGACACCATTACCAAACTATAAAAAACTAGGAATTTAGCATTATTTAGGTCAAATTACATGAATTAGCATGTTTCAATTGCCATAGAATATTGATTAGAGATAAAATAAAACTTCAAACAAATTTCGATTAGAAGCAAAAAGTGTTGCTGTTATGATCAGGTGGGAAAGAGAAAAAATATTTATACAGAAAATAAATGATCGGGCATAAGAAGTGCATTAAAAAAAGTAAAGGAAACTTAGAAATTCTATATTTTAAATTATATATACTGTAAAAAGGCTTCTTGTACAAGTGATCTGTCCAGAATTGTGTTATGTTGGCACTTAATTGAACCAATAAAACAAAAATCCCAAAACACATAAAATAAAAAAAAACAAAACAAAAACGTCTGTGGTAATGATATTTAGTTTTCAACTATTTTCATCATACTCAACATCAGTTGTATCATCTGTTGGAGATCTAATATAATAATAACACGGATTCATATAATATAATGTACAGTTATTTTTATAGGCATGCTACCTTTCGTTATGCAGGCAGCTACAAACATCTCTGCATTTTCGTCCCCACAGTCCAAGTGAACATGGTTGGCATGGATATCCGTCCTTTGAAACATACCCAATTTCACATTCTATATGAAATATATCGTTTTCGAAACTAATGTAAATGCGTAGTTATAAATATAAAAACATAACGAGGGATTACAATATACATGATATAGTGAACGTTTGAAAGAAATTCATATAAAGACGAGATGAAGCGGGATTGTCGATGGGACAAATATCTATAAACACCAAAGATAAAAATGTAGACATATCGACGATAGCGTACAACAATGGGACAAAACCATACCATATAGTAAATATAGGCAAGATCTAATACTGTGAACACATGTCGCTAGTGACGTGAAACATAGTCATACCGTATCGGTCAACCAATTGGTGATGGCTAACGTAAATTTTGTAAAGTGTTGTTTTCAGTTGTTATGCCTCATAATTCTGTTTGAGTAGTTTTTGCATAAGGAGCACACCCATTTTAATAATTGAGCTTAACATATCTTTGAGATATATAAGATATATATGTTGCTGTTGCGAAATGGGAAGGTAACAGTTGTAAAGTTGAAATTATCATGCTAATAATAGATTTTTAAAATAAAGTCGTCCATCTTTGTGAATATCGATGACAACATCAAGATATGAGTCAGATCTTCTAGTTTCGGTAGTATCCCTCATCCAAAATTAACTGGAAACTATGAGTTGTAAGCACTCATTGAATAGTGTGTTATTGATTGACAGGGAATCATCAATATATGTTTATCTGAAAGTTAATTTAAAGAACTTTGCATGATGTTCTTTTCTTTTTTTCCTTTAGAAGGTTTTGTGTGCATTATGTTGCATATGAGAACAAATTAAATACGTCGGCAAGTTGGATGCACAATTAGTAACGATTGGAATAACGACTGTTTGTTGAAATGCTAATCCACTTAACTCAACAAATATTATCAAAACAAAATGATTACTTATGGAAGTGTTTAGGCTACTTGATATAGTGAGTTTTAATAATGGTATGGAAAACGGTTTGGTTCGAGTATAGTGAATTCCAAAAGGTTTAACAGAAGATAACAAAAATTGCAGGTCGTGTTTATATAGTAAGTTATAAAAGACCCCTTGATGAAATATCTGACAAAATCAAAAGAAAAAACTCAACCGCCTGATTTATACTTCAAAAATTAACCAACAACATATAGCAATCACCGACAACTATAAGATAACAGTATCCTGTCTTTAAACAAGGCAGAACAACATGTGTGGGGATTAAAAGCTCATCAAGGTTACCATGCTTATAGTTTGATACGCCAGACGCGCGTTTCGTCTTCATCAGACTCATTAGTAGCACTAGAATCAAATCTATTGGAAGACCAAATCAAAAACGATGTTGAAAGGCCAAATATTATACGAAGTTGGGAGGCCAAATCCAATACGAAATTACATAGCATGAATAACCGAGCATTCGACAAAAGTTGTGCCAAATATAGTTAAGGTAATATATGCGTGTTGGTAGAAAAAACTGTGTGTTACGAATTTGTGTAATATCTTATACACAGTAAATATACAGAAAATTAACATATCAATGATATAGCAAGTCAATACAAAGGTGCTGACTACTGGGCTGGTGATAACCTCGGATAATCATGTGATAGCACATCATAAGAACACATTGTAAAAATCTTTTGGAAAGGGTTCATCTACTAAGTTCGGATTTTTAGAACTAAACAACTAATGAAACGATAAAAGACACAAATAAGTCCAAAGAATGGCTATGGGCGTATATAAAGCTCAATAACAGCTTCCGAGTAATAAACTGAATAAAGATTAATGGCGCGTATGTTGATCATTAATGTTAATAAAGGGTGAAAACGTCCTCTGTTATCACAACTCTGTCTACTAAAACTGTTCCTAGTAATTGGAATAACAGAGTAAATACCTATAAGAATATTCATGCATATTTGTTAAATTAAAAAAAAAAGGTAATGTCTCGATGTTCCTAAACTATTTAATACTGAAAGAAACTTTTAATTCATGCATACTCAAGATTTCGCTTTTCATTTGCAGAACATCAAGGGAACAAAAATGGAATAAATGTTTGCATTTACTACTTTCTCAATTCTGCAAGGCTACACATATTGGGTGTTCTTTGTTTATCGTCCATTGGTACTTATGGCATGCATAAAAATGCAATCAAATTTCATGTGTGAGATTTCTGACATAGAATAGTTGTTCCAAACATGTGATATTTGAAAGAATGGGGTAGCAATATTTTTCTTCTAAAGTCATTCAACTCTGCAACGAACCAGTGTCTTAATAATTATAAAATCACAACTGACTATGGTTTTAACATAAAGTAAAAATAATTTATTCACTTGCATTTACTTGAGTATGAAGCTTTCTATATCAAAATAATGTGTTGATGTAATCGAGTTAGCAAGATCAGCGTTGCAACTGTGTTTTGGTTATTATCATCAAGTTGTAATATTTGTGGTTTTCCTTGAGTTTAAACTCGATATGCTAAACATATTTTTTTATTATTATATTAAAGTTAAACTGTGTTTCATATCTTCTGTGTACTTTATCGGAATTCGGTTGTCTTTGTTTTATGTTATTTCGATATCATTTTGTTTTCTTAATATTTACTGATATAAAACATACCAACACATGTGCCATTCTTTTCCTCATGATTATTACAACAAAACCATGACCCAGTTACACCATTGCTGTACAAAAACAAAACGCAAATGAATGTTTAAAACGAATCATGCCGGGTAATAGTTTATTACAAAAATAAAATTTGCTCAGTTCTATAAAATTCATCATTCGAATCTTCATCGAGTGACTTGATGTGTTGTCTTTACTCCAGACATTGATGTTAATACTTGTAACAAGTAACCAATCCTTGACACTGCTATGTGTCTTTTTGTTTTGTTGTCGCAATTGGTTTCCATTAATTTTTTGCGGGTTTCTCCGAATGCATTATTTAACTTTTTTTTTTTAAATAAAACTAGTATATTTGTCAGTCAACATTTTGATTTGAAATTTATCAGTTCCGATTACTATTATTTCCAATGTCTCAAGACAGGAAATTTACAACTGGTATTAATGAGGAGAAAAGTTAGGTTGTATCATTGATAGTCATATCATAATTCCTTAATTAACCTTTTAAAGAAGATATTAAGATTACCTTAAATCATCATAACATTTGTCACTCTGAACAAAGCCTAAAATCCAAACAAAAATATATATCACCATCTTCAGTATTTTCATGATAAAATTCGATGACAAAGGAAATAATTTCCGTGATTCTACAATTATCAGTGTATATACTGATATATATTATATTTCCGGTAATGAACAGAACAATAACGAGTAGGTGCATAATCACTTTTGGAATTCCGAATGAAACGTACTTTACATGAGGCACCCTCTAACATCAGGAATCTCGTCTGTGGTTTTCTATTTTTTTGTATATCTTTGTAATTTTTAGCTCCAAAGACTTATATTTTAAATTTTGGGAAGTCTATACAATTTCTTCATAAACCTTGGAATCGATGGTGTGGTTATCGCAGTTGAATATTGGTTAAGACGGTACAATGACATTTTCCACGCTGTATTTGGAAGGGTTTAATTTTGAATTGTCCTTTATGTTGTCCAAATGTGATATTTGAATGGGGATGACATTTAGAAATCAACAAATAAAACGATAATATATATTTTTTAAAACAATAAAACTGCTAAAATACAGTTATTACTAAAATTACAAACGTTGGCGTTACGTTACTTACATATTGTGGGGTTATTGGTTTCCGCTCTGCGTGCTAATTGTGAGAATGCAAGTAAACATTTTTAAGTCTTTGGTTTGACCTCTTACACTGGAAAACCTAGCACGCTAACCGCTTCATCACAACATTTACATGGCGTTTTAGTTACCTTTCGACTTCTGAATTTGAATGTTCCCTTTGTTATCTTTAGAATTTCTATTAAAGAAGAGGGGCGAAAGATACCAGAGGGACAGTCAAACTCATAGATCGAAAATAAACTGACAATGCCATGGCTAAAAAACAAAAAGACAAACAGACAAATAATGGTACATAAAACACAACATAGAAAACTAAAGACTAAGCAACACGAACACCACCAAAAACTGGGGGTGATCTCAGGTGCTCCGGAAGGGTAAGCAGATCCTGCTCCACATGTGGCACCCGTCGTGTTGCTGATGCTATTACAAGCCCGGTAAATAGTCTAATTCGGTAGGTCACATTCGTGAAAAGGGAAGGGTATTGTAGTTACGACATAAGGAACGTATCCGATATCATCTGTGAAACGGTTATTCCGTAACGGTCAATCAACTCGTGATGGCGTCCATAAAATTTACGAAGGGATGATTTCAACTTCACCATTTGGAACTCTTGGTTTAATAGCTTCCTTGTGAGCAGCAACCCTCTATCAAGGAAATCATGATAGGAAATACAAGCCCGGGAATATCGTATCAATTGGGAGATATATACTCCGTATGCAGGCGCTGCTGGAATGTTGCTACATAGAAATGGAAAGTTCACAATTGGGATGCTGAAATCATCTCTTTTGTCGTAAAGTTTTGTTTTCAACCGACCCTCATTGTCAATTTCTAGCTGTAAGTCAAGATATGAGGCAGACTTAGCTGTATCTGTTGTATCCTTTATCTCTAGTTCGATGGGATAGATGCGTTCAACATAGTCACCAAATATTGAATTATTCGGTGAGAGAACATCATCTGTATAGCGAAAAGTAAAGTTCAAGGATATTGCTAACTTCTTATCTTTCTTCATAAGAAGTTCCTGTATTAAGTCAGCCTCATAATAATAATAAAGGAACAAGTCGGCAAGAAGAGGGGCACAATTGGTTTCCATTGGAATGCCGACAGTCTGTTGAAAAACACGTCCTCCAAACGTAACAAATATGTTGTCAATCAAGAAATCAAGCATCTTGATAATGTCAGTTTCAGAGAATTTTTTGTTTGTATCAGAGTGATTCTTTACAAAGTAGGATTTTTCCCTCCCTAAGACAAGATACTTGTATCTACGTTGGCCATTCTTTTTTATGAAACAAAGCAATACCAACTCTTTCAATTTGTCTTTTAATTTTGAATGCGGAATACTTGTGTAAAGTGTAGAAAAGTCAAATGTTTTAATACTTTTGCAAGATGAGAGAGTCTTAGATTGTATGTACTCTAAAAAAACTTTGGAATTTTTTAGGATCCACATCCGATTCACGCCACCTCTAGAATAGGCAGTTTCACAATAACTTCGAAGCCCGGTTTTGATTACTGATAAAATAGATGTTAATAATTTAGAAAGAGGTTTCGTGGAGCACTTGGAAGACCCAGCAATATACCGTTGTTTGTAAGAACACTTATGTAGTTTAGCTATCCAATACAGTGATGGAAGATCCAGTTCTTCATCTTTGGTTGAAATTCCAAAGGAACATAGAACAGACCTATGATTATCCAGGATTTTCTCTTTGGAAAGTGTCGTGAGGGTATATGTTGAGTTTCCAAGTGAATTGTCAATACCTAATTCATTCATCAAGCAGTTTATGTAATGAGATTTACACACAAAAACGATGTGGTTTGGGGCATTATCTGCGGGGACAACAACATATTTGTAATGAAGGTAGGACAAGTGTTTTGCAACATTTAGGTCTTTAAAGATTGACGTAGCATGGGTATTGATGGACCCATTCAGTTTCTTAATTCTGATTTGTATCAACGACCTCACAGCCTTAATCCATTCGGAAAGAGTATCTACGTCTTCTTTCTCGAGTTTAGCCTATTGCCTGGCATAATCCTCGACTGAATCCATCAGTATTTTAAAATTGTATTTCCAATTGATGGATTAAGGTTCACGATATTTCGGACCTTTGGATAACACATGGGAAGTGTTATTGACAATGTTGAGGTCACCGGTAATTACGTGGCCAGCCGGATTATATGTGAATTGGGAACTAGCACAGGTGCAATCAGGAGGTTTAGACTTGAAGTCGTCAATATTGAGATCCTGCAAAACGTGTTTGTAATTGAAAATTTTAGCTGCAATTGGTTTGGTATAGGTATAAGAAATGAGTGGTACAGACTGATCTTTAAAATAAGGAGGTATTTTCGATTGAACTAATTTATGATGAAGAATATTGCCCAAGTTGCAGCCATCGATACCTTTGTTGGCAAAGGAAAGTTTAAGAAAAGATCTTTTCTCTTTTTCATCTTTTCCAATGCAAACTGGTTTGAAAAATCTGTGACTTGCAATATCCGAAATGATAGCTGTAAGTTTGTATTGGTTTGAATGAGGGTTTGTAACAGTGGTTTCCAAACATAAATTGAACAGAGAATGAAGTTTTAAAAGGGGTAATGAATAACGTTTCGTGCGAATGTGATGAATACCTAACGGCTTTTGTATAAATGGCAGCAAGTCATTAATAGAGACATCATGCAGAGTAGGTAATGTATAATGACGATGACCATGACTGCGTCTACGTCGAGGAGTAGAGTTGAAAATATTCATCACATTCACCGAGCTACAGGAAAGACTAGATAGAATACCTATACCATCAATTTTGTCATTGCAACCATATGGTGTCGCAGTTCCCAATTGTAGAATCCAGTAGTCCTCTTTAAGTCTATGAAGACGCGTTGCAAGATGAGGATTGTTCGGCTTGTGGTATATTTTTTCGATAATGAGAACTGTCATAGAAACGATGGAATGATCAGGCTGATTAAAATGCTGGTAAAGAATGTCGCTTGCATTGTGGTTGATGTCTGATCTATGGCCGCACATACGTTTGTTTAGCCTTTTTTTCGTTTCACCGACGTATACCAATACGCAAAGGTATTAATGTGATTCTGACTTCAGACCATCGCATTTTACCTAGTACAAACCATCGCACTTCACGGTAACATTCAATGTCAACGTCACAGTTAAACCATTGCACTAAAACTTAACGACCAACTCACTTTAGCGTAGCTTTTAACAAGTAAGCGTCACTATCGCACTTCAGTGTGTTAACCAATGCACTTCAGCGCGTAACATCGCGTTTCAGAGATGCCATAGCGGTTCAGAGTACCATCGCGGTTCCGAAATAGAGAGAGAGAAACAATAATTATATCGTATGTACCTTTAAGTTGAATAAACAAATAAGGAGACAGAACAATGAACAAAATTCATATCGTAATGCCTTCTATTTTAAGGAACTCCATATCATAAAGTTAACAACGAAATACACCGGAATACAAAATAATGTAACAAAGTCAACTGACAGCTTTATTAAAATAAATAACAATCGAAATCAAGTTATTGGCCATGTCACCAAATGGTAACAACTCGGTTACAAACATTTAAAATGGACAAACATATTATGGTGGGTATAAAATTGAGCCATATCTTTGTTGGTGTAGTTGTGGACGTTGACTTTTTATATTAGGTAGTTAAATTCGGTATTATAACATGTATAAAGATACCATGACTTATGCCATGTAACACCACAACTGTTCACCTTTTTACAATTAGTTTCATGTAATGAGCATAGTTTTCTTTTTAAATTTGTGTTCATCTGGACACCTTTAATTATGAGGACTGTTAACACCGATAAACTACATGTACATGTAATTCAAATGTACTGTTAGTCGGGAAGGTCTTAAAACAGGACAGATAAAACCAGGACAATTATTTTCGTTACGTTTTCATCTGTAACTTTTGTTTTACTCAATATATTGTTGATATTTAAATTGTATAATAACAGGGTATTTACTTGCATTATTTGTAAAAAAATAATTAAAATAAAAAATTAATAAGTTAAAAAAAATCTGCCAGGACAGTTAAATTTTAAGAAAAAAAATGGCTGAAATTGCCGAGAAAAAATTACTTATTATTGAAACGATTTCTCCAAAACAACTGTCTGGCATAATATTTTTGTACGATTATAAATTTTAGGGAAAAATCATTCCAAAAATCTATAATTTAATATTTTTTTCGATTTTTAAAGATAAAAAAACCTGCTAGGACAGTAGCCCATTACATTAGAAATTTTGTTGAAATTATCTCAAACTCAAAATATAAAGTTAAATATCTTCTTCAAAATGAATGTCTGGTAAGCAAATTTTGGTTCATTGGAAAGTTTAGAATATAAACTTTATGAAAATATAAAATTATATGGACTTTTATTTCATTAACACAAAAAAAAAATCTGCCAGGACAGTAGCCTACTCCGTTAAATTTCTGTATAAATGGCGGAAATTAACATCGCAATTTCTAACTATAAATGA